TTTGACACACCAATCAGGTCAGGATCATAGTCCTCCACTAGCTGCAGGGGGTACACCTCTTCTTTTATCATTAAAATGTTGTAAGTATGTTTAATGATTTTTTATATGTAAATATTAGACCAGCGTACATGTCTTCGCGTGTTTACCGTACTGTGTGTAGTAGGACCGCGGTAAAGTGGGCCGCATCTTTCACCTCCGAAGTAAAACGGCCCGCATCGAGAGAAAAGCAGTGCGCGTTTTGTTGACTGCTTACGGTAATGGCAGAACAGCCTTTCGCAGTCAGCTTTTCTCCTCGAACAGAAAGCGCGCTTAGGAGACTCGTTTTGTGAATAAACCCTTATTTGGAAAAGCATGTAAAAACTTAAAATGTTCGACATTTAATTTGGTCAAAAAGTGAAATTTTCAGCTGCTGTCCATTTTTACAGTAAAGACTTGAGTATCTTATTCCACTGGGTGTATGACCTCACCACTGCCTTCACCGCTGTGCCTACAACCACAAACCTTTACTTTGGAAATTGTGGGTAAAATTGAGACAAATTACACGTTTTAGTCCAAAATACACAAAACTAAGAAAATTCCCACCTTTGATCTACTGTAACTTTTTTACTGTAAAAAGGTGTGAGACTAATTTCACTGGATTCATGACCTCAACATTGCCCTCTACCACTGTACCAAAGACAAGAAACATTTACTGTAGAAATTTTGAGAAATACTGATTTAAAGAAGCCATTTTGGTCCAAAATACCTCCAAAATAGTCAAAACATGTCATTTTTGATCTACTGTATCTTCTTACTGTAAAAAGGTGTGCGACTAATTTCACTGGATTCATGACCTCAACATTGCCCTCTACCACTGTACCAAAGACCAGGAACTTTTACTGTAGAAATATTGAGAAATATTGATTTAAAGTAGTCGTTTTGGTCCAAAATAGCCTAAAAATGGTCAAAACATGTCACTTTTGATCTACTGTATCTTCTTACTGTAAAAAGGTGTGCGACTAATTTCACTGGATTCATGACCTCAACATTGCCCTCTACCACTGTACCAAAGACAAGAAACATTTACTGTAGAAATTTTGAGAAATACTGATTTAAAGAAGCCATTGGTCCAAAATACCTCCAAAATAGTCAAAACATGTCATTTTTGATCTACTGTATCTTCTTACTGTAAAAAGGTGTGCGACTAATTTCACTGGATTCATGACCTCAACATTGCCCTCTACCACTGTACCAAAGACCAGACACTTTTACTGTAGAAATATTGATTTAAAGTAGCCATTTTGGTCCAAAATACCCCCAAAATAGTCAAAACATGTCACTTTTGATCTACTGTATCTTCTTACTGTAAAAAGGTGTGCGACTAATTTCACTGGATTCATGACCTCAACATTGCCCTCTACCACTGTACCAAAGACCAGACACTTTTACTGTAGAAATATGGAGAAATATTGATTTAAAGTAGCCATTTTGGTCCAAAATAGCCTAAAAATGGTCAAAACATGTCACTTTTGATCTACTGTAACTTTTTACTGTAAAAAGGTGTGCGACTAATTTCACTGGATTCACGACCTCATGATTGCCCTCTACCACTGTACCAAAGACCAGAAACTTTTACTGTAGAAATTTGGAGAAATATGGAGTTAAAGTAGCCATTTTGGTCCAAAATAGCCTAAAAATGGTCAAAACATGTCACTTTTGATCTACTGTAACTTTTTACTGTAAAAAGGTGTGCGACTAATTTCACTGGATTCATGACCTCATGATTGCCCTCTACCACTGTACCAAAGACCAGAAACTTTTACTGTAGAAATTTGGAGAAATATGGAGTTAAAGTAGCCATTTTGGTCCAAAAATATCCTAAAAATGGTCAAAACATGTCACTTTTGATCTACTGTGTCTTCTTACTGTAAAAAGGTGTGCGACTAATTTCACTGGATTTATGACCTCAACATTGCCCTCTACCACTGTACCAAAGACCAGACACTTTTACTGTAGAAATCTGGAGAAATATTGATTTAAAGTAGCCATTTTGGTCCAAAATAGCCTAAAAATGGTCAAAACATGTCACTTTTGATCTACTGTAACTTTTTACTGTAAAAAGGTGTGCGACTAATTTCACTGGATTCACGACCTCATGATTGCCCTCTACCACTGTACCAAAGACCAGAAACTTTTACTGTAGAAATTTGGAGAAATATAGAGTTAAAGTAGCCATTTTGGTCCAAAATAGCCTAAAAATGGTCAAAACATGTCACTTTTGATCTACTGTAACTTTTTACTGTAAAAAGGTGTGCGACTAATTTCACTGGATTCATGACCTCATGATTGCCCTCTACCACTGTACCAAAGAGCAGGAACTTTTACTGTAGAAATCTGGAGAAATATGGAGTTATAAGTAGCCATTTTGGACCAAATTATAAAAAGGGCAATGTTGAGGTCATGAATCCAGTGAAATTAGTCGCACACCTTTTTACAGTAAGAAGATACAGTAGATCAAAAATTACATGTTTTGACTATTTTGGAGGTATTTTGGACCAAAATGGCTTCTTTAAATCAGTATTTCTCAAAATTTCTACAGTAAATGTTTCTTGTCTTTGGTACAGTGGTAGAGGGCAATAATAAGCTCATGAGTCAAGTGAAATTAGTCGCACACCTTATTCCAGTAAATAGTTACAATACTTGAAAATTGCACTAGCGGACCAAATTGTGTACTTTATATATGTAAACAATAGAGTGGCTATCCTCCTGAGGACTCACAATCTGCCGGAGGAATCGTAGGGGGCTGGTGCTATGTGTCATCTCTATAAGGTTTAAATCACAAAAACGTGTCTCCCTGACCCCAGCGCGCTTTCTGTTTGATAAAAATGGGTGACTCCGAAAGGACGTTCCGCTGTTACCGTAAGTTCTCAACAAAACGCGCACCGTCTTTTCCCCGATGCGGCCCGCATGTTCATAGAGGTGAAAGATGCGGGCCACTTTACCGCGGTGTAGTAGGGGTGCACTAAAATGTTGGAGCGGCTTTCGAGTCGCTCTGAACCCAGAGAGAAGGAGAGGTGTACCGAGAGGGAATGACCGTTGAATGTCTGTCGGATATCCAACTTCAAACTAACTTCACCGCGGTCCCACACCGTTTGTTCATACAAAACGCAAAACTATGAGTTATGGGTCTTACCTTATAAATGACCTGCACAGACGCCTTCAGTTCAGTCCCGTTCCTTGTTTAAGTCCAGTTAATGGTTTGAGCGTAGATATGTAATCCTCAATTTGGAAATGAGTCCAATGAGTTTTAAAAAGTAAAACAAAACGCGTGTGTCCTCCATAAACTCCTGTTTTTCTAGCTGCAGCCGGGTGCATCCAATTTCTAAAACCAACCGTCTTACACTTCACCTCTCTTTCTTATCATTCCAATAGTAATTGAAAAATTACCCTATGTGCATTTTAAATTATCTTAAAATGTGTTATATGTATGTTATAGCTATTTGTTTCAAAAACACAATTTATGACCATCCTCTCAACTGTAGACATGTAGATTGTAAAGGAAATATGTTTTACATCAGCCAATAATTGCTGAGAGGTTTTCTCATCCTCCCTTCTCTCATGACAACATGTTCATTGTGCGTCTTGAGTAACGCGCAGTAACGGGATGTCGGAAATGATAACGGCGTTATAGTTACTGTCAAAGTAATTAGTTAGATTACTCGTTACTGAAAAAAGTAACGGCGTTAGTAACGCCGTTACTAATAACGCCGTTATTCCCATCACTGGTTATTTTGACATGAGGCACTTTGTTAAGCGAGGCTTAACTATTGTGTTGACTCACTGGTTATAGCTGCTACTCTCATCCTAGTACAATTTTAAACTAGCATGCCAGTCAAACTGAGACAAGTTACTGTGGTAACTTGAACTGGGTAGGCCCACAATTTCAGCTGACATTTCAAGTAGCAAAATGCCTCTTGGGTTTTTAACACATGGACTACCACAATTCTGAAACTACTAGAACTCGCAGCGCTATCATTTTGACTGCACTCATTCAAACAATGGAATTCAGAGTTTTTAATAAAATGTATTAAGTAATTTACAAGTTGTTTTACCTGACACAGTCACCATAGATGAACTGTCTTCTGCAATTGACTTGTCTGCTGTCAAAATATTCCTTAGCAAACGTGCTCAAATTCAATGCTTCTTACTGAATGCCACAGTGAATGCATGTGTGTGAAGTTCATTTAGGTATACAAATGTTGAGCTTGTTCATAGAGTAGAAAGGAAACATTAACATGTTTTCATTCATCACAAATAATATTTTTTACTGTATGCATGGAGTAGTAAATGAAAATATATATTACAAAGGTGTAGCAAAGCAACACTCAGCCATACATGAAATTACATAGAAAATGGATGTGGGTCATTTTTGACCCATGTTGTGCATTAGAGGGGTAGTGATACAAAAATATTTTTTATTCAAAAAGTAAAAACAAATAATAAAATGAGGATGTTTAAAGATCAAAAACAAGTTAATTGAGGAATACCTGGAATACTAAAAGATTAAATTAATCCATTGCAAAGATAAAGAACATAAAAACTCAGTCGGGTCACTTTTGACCCATGTTGTGCATCAAAGGGTTAAAAGTGTATTAACTGGTGAATATAACTTGATATTCAGAAAAAAAGGTTTATGGAATGGCTGATGACCTAATGCTACCTGCTACAAACCAGCACTTGCTCTTCTCTGATAGAAACGAGCTGAATCATTTCAACCATCTGATATAAAAAAATAAATAAAAAAAATCATAAAAATGACAAATTCAAAGTACATGTAGTAAACGAAAAAGTCACAAAGTTACGAAGATCCAAAATGTATATTAGCTAGAGTAATTGCACTTCCAAAACTAAAAGCCGTCAAATTGACTGTTACGCGATTTGTAGTGTTAAACGTAAAACTGTCTTTGGGAGTTTCGTGTGGGAAGCAGCCAGTTGTTTACGTGCATTTATTTCAAAATAAAATGTTCTTTATTTTGAAAGCTCAGGCCCTCTCACTGCACGTCCGCCGCGCCGTGGAGTGACGCGCGTCGTAAATCTCCACAGTCGCTTTGACGCGATAGAAAGCAGGGAGAGAAGCGAGCTGTGAAATAGCGGTTTGCTCTCAAACCATTCCCCGGAGAAACACGACAGCTTCTCCGCGGTACACCTCCGAGCAGCGCCGTGAGGAGCGGGAGAAGACGAAGAAGACGCGACCCCAGGCATCTCCGAGTCCGAGAGAGTGTCCTTCGGTGGGTGCTGAGGTAGATGCATGATGTTGTTGCTTATTTACTACAAGAATACATAAACACTGAAAAGTGTTTTGACGCTGTTCTGGTTTAATTTCGTTGTAATCGGTTTGACACATTAAAAGTAGCGGGAAAAGCAGGTGGTAGACATAATGTGACTCCGGCTAATCAGCTTTGCATTGAGGAAACGGAGCAGTGATGAACCCAAATGTCATCTCCGGTTTCTGAAGCATAGCTGATTACTTCATTATTTTTTTTTCATTCAGAATCAGATTCAGAATTCGTGTTATTGCCTTTGTAAGTAACATGAAGTCACAGCAGAGGAAATCGTAGTAAGTCTATATTTAACAATGCTCATAGATTCTGAAATATGGACTATGGATCTAACAGTGTGTTTTTTCTATTATTTAGCCATATATGTAAATATAATAGTTTGAACTATTATAGTTACATATAAATCCATAGGAGGGTTAGCACCAGGATCTAGGACACTACAGCTATTGGCTTTCCCATTTTTATGTTATTGATTTTAGTAGTTCTCTAATAAGGTTCAACTCAATTTAATGTATTCTTGTATAACCCTAAATCACAGTAGTAGTTATCTTGGAGGACGTGACACTAAATGGTTATGAACTGTGCTGCACAAATAAACAATAAGAATAAACAATAACAAGTGTCCCAAACTGTCTTTTCCCACTGCATTTGTAATGATGTAATGTAATAAAAAATATTACATGCTTTGTTATAAAAATACATACAAATTGGTCAACTATTTGTTACAGGCACACATTGGCACTATTTCAAACTCACTGAGGTTAAAGGTAAAAATGTGCACGTCGGGTTTTGAGTGTCCATCCGCTGCTGTCGTTTACGTTGACTTGCAATAAATGCAAACCTCAGGTTTGCAGGTACTTGTCTTTTCTCTTCATCTGAGAACGTGGGGGCCAGTGGGGGGCCAAAAATAGTTACTTTTACTGGTAACTAGTTACTTTTATTGTGGAGAAACCAGTTAGTAACTCGGTAACTAGTAACTATAAGTAATTTCTTTTTCAAAGTAATGTGCCCAACACTGATGGTGGTTGACATGATTGTATTTTGATTAAAAGAAGGAAAAGGAAGTTTGTCTCTGACAGCTGTTTCCTCTCTCTTATAAATTCAGCACTTCAAACATTCACAGATTTTAAACATAAGCCAAATAAAATTTATTTCCATTACAGCTGGAGCACTTACGCAGCATTAACTGTGTAGTAACATCCAGTTCCGAGCTCTCAAATGTATTTCATGCATTTTACTTGCCCTCGCTCAGCCAATCAGCTCTCAGTATGTAAAGGTCTAATATATTCTAATAGGAGGAAGATGGCATAATTAATGGGATTTGGTTCTTCTATACCAGACAGTAGTAAGTTAGTGATGTTATTACCTTTATTTCTACCAAGAAGACGGCTTCCTAAACCATGAAGACCATGTTGTCTGATTTGTTAACACAAATTTTCTTTAAAACCATCACGTACGTATTTGTGCAACAAAAGCTAGCACTTGGTTCTCCATCTTAAAGTCTTACAATGTCATTCCAGAGTCGACGTGCACATTGTACACAGTCCCAGTTTTTCTCTATAGTTGACAAACCCTCCTGTTTCTCACCATTCTACAATTTTTGCAGCTTTAGGTGTTTGTTTGCTCAGTATGCAGCAGTTCCTGCTGTCTCCGCTGGTCTCTTTCAAACGGATACATGTTCCTCTTCAGGCTCCTATTTCTTTGTATTGAAACCATTAGTTTCCTGATTTCCATCCATCCATTTTCTACCCTTTAATCCATTTCTGGGTCAGGGGGGTGGCAGTCAGTGATGCCACCCAAGTCTCATAGCACCAGCCCCTCACTGACCCTCTGCAGGTGGTGAGTCCACAGGAGGACGGCTGCTCTCTGAGTGTGAGCATAGCCTTGATCTTTCAGTGGGGGCTTTGGGCAAAGTGGGGTTAAGTGTCTTGCCCAAGGACACAACGACAGCAGTCATCAGTGGGAGTCGGTGGAGAAGGTGCAGAGGTGGGAATTGAACCCACGACCTTCTGGCCTTAAGGCCAATGCTCTACCAACTGAGCTACTGTCGCCCAGTTTCCTGATTTATTAAAGGATTTCCCAGTATTTTTTATTAATCTTGCAATTTTATTTATTTTTACATTGTAACTGTTTTATGTTCTATCTCTTACTTGTGCTAATGCTGACTGCAGAGGATGGTACATCAGGACATTGTCAGTGTATGATAACCATGAGAAAAAATATCACTTTATAAATGAGAATTTGTATAGTTATTTCATGTGATTTCAGGTAATTAGAATTGTCAAACGTATTGAAAATCAGATGAATCTATTCTAAAACAGTAATGATCATATGAGCAAGAATTGAGACTACAAAAATACTCTATCAATATAAACACTAAAGCACTATTACAGCTTTTAGTCCACAAAAGAGCATTTTAAACCTTATCATCATCATTTAGCTACATTGATTGAAAAACATAGATTAAGACACAGACAGGGGCATGCCAAAATTAAGTCTGAAATTTAGGATTACTTCGATAATTGACTGGCCAATATAAATAAGCATTTTGCAAGTTCTTTATATCCCAAAAGGTCAGTGATTATGGGATTTTGTTCACATTTGACCAAAACAAACTGATACCTCTGGAGAACATCTTCATAGAGACGACTGGTTAAACTTTGGGCAGATTTGATTAAGAATACTTTTGTAAACATATTTTCACTTCACCACAATCATCATATTAATACAACAATTAAGAGTTGTAAATCGTCTTTTCAGCATGTTTGCACCTTGAGCCGAAACAAATTCCTAGTTTGTGACTTCCTGTACTTACAATGGCAATAAAAGTAATTCTGATTCTGATTCTGAACTATAGTGAAAACTGCATTATCCTAATACAATCCCATCCTCACAAATACCATCCATCGTCCCATTCCCAGTTATTATCATTCAAGAATAATCCCAAATATGTGTGACATTTGTTGTGCCTTTGCTTTTGCAGGTGCAGTGCATTCTTTCCACCCATGGCTTCATCCAGGTGACCTCTGCTGAAGCACAACACGGTGAGACATTTTTCAAGGAATTTTATTGCAAAATAGTGGCCATGTCTTAGTGGCGGTGGTCAGAGGAGTGAGGAGCTATGGTGTGTATAAGAATATATTCAAACATACTCAAATATGTAGGAATCACTCAATGCCATCTTCAGTTTTTAAATGACAAGGGAAACCGCTATATGTAAAAAGCTGTGAAAAGTCAATTTAGCGTTGTATGTAATTGAATTAAATGTATTTATTTGATATGGGAAACTGCACGATAAACATTAGTCTTTCAAAAAGAAATAATGTCATGTACCAAAACACCAAAAAGAAAAACACTCACACATACATTGATTGAAAAACACAGATTAATGTAATGTCTGTCTTTTGTAATGAAACAAGAACACCAGGCTTGAAGCTAAAGGACAAAAGTTTTAACTAGGGCTGTCAAAAGTATTGCGTTAATGCACAGTAATACATTTTTATCATTAATCGCGTTGAAAAATAACGCATTTGACGCATGTGCCGAATTACTCGCCCATGCATCCCATAATAGTTTAAAAAGAATACGTGTGTGACCGCGCGGTACTTGAGGTTGTTTGCTGTCCGCATCTTCCGTTGCCGCAACGTTCTGATCCGGGGCAGCTGTGACTGCTCTGGACAGCGGTTCCCACCTCCAGCGGCTGTGAGCCGCTTTAACAACAACACGGCAAACGGCGTCACTGTAACGTGATCATATCCAAGAACATACAAGCACTGAACTATTCTCTGCTTGTTGCGTGTGTGTCTTTGCATTACCTGTGCATGCAATAAATACACTGCTGAAGCTGGACAAGCCTCAGGAAGTGTTCGTGTCTCCCCCCGTGTCTCATCCTGAAGCGCATCTAAACTCGCTAAATTAAAGCTGGGGTGCCTATTTTTTCCCTTGCAAATGTGAGCAAATCGAACAGATTTAATGACAGCCATAGGCTGACATTATGCATTTCAGACTTTTTTGAAATGTCCCATTCTCATCCCTGTAACAAACAATAGTTTTGGTCTTTGTCATCTCCCTCACTGTAGTGACATGTTTATTACTCTCTTGTAATGTAGATAGACTATTGCACTGTATTTCAATTGTTGAAACCACCTACATCCTATTCAGTATGTGGTCCACATACCATTAAGATAGCCTTGAAAAAAACCTGAAAAAAAAAGTTTCTAGTCCTAGTCCAGGCCTGGACCAATTAGCATAGTTGAAGATATGGGTCTTGCTAAAACATTGAGAGTAGCGTCCCTCGACTCCTACAAGCCACCAGCAAGAGGCACAATAATGAAAACATACTATCTACTACGGAAAGAAAGAATGTTAATAGTGTTAATGCCATTTTATGTGGATTTTTTGTTGTTATAATAAACAAATACAGTTCATATGTACACTATGTTGTCATTTATCTTTCCATTCAAACAACCATTTACAGAAAAACATGGCATAATTTTACTGATATTTCGAAATGCAATTAATTAAAATGAATACATTTTTAAGCTGTAATTAACTCAATTCAACATTTTTATTGTTTGACAGCCCTAGTTTTAACTTGTTAGTACCTCTGTTGTACCACCCCTCTATTTTTACGTTAAGTATATTATAAAACTATACAACAAAGTTTGACCATTATTGAGAAAACATTAGCAGACTGTACTTGACGTCTCTTGTCCATTGATCTAACTTGTAGTCAAAATAGTGTTAGTTGTTTGAGGGGAACTTGCAGATAGGAGACTGGTGCTTTGTGTTTTCATCTTTTTGCACCTCTGTTCACTCTGAGCTAAAATTAGAACATCGTGATACATCAAAAGAGAAGGGGAAGGGAAAAATTCACAGTCTGCTCCATACGAACTGCATTAACACTAATCTGTTTTAAAACAAGCCAAAACACCATACAAAGTTTCATTGGTTGAGGTATTAAAACACATTGACAACATGTAGTTGCTACATTAGATTTCACCGATCAATAACAACGATGTTCCTATGTTAGATAAGCTATTAGTCACTGTTGTCAAACCATGAAGTTAATTAACCTTTTGAACCTATCAACATAATGTAGGGCAAGCAGATCGATTATTGAAATAGTTGTTAACTAATGTAGTATCAATTAATCTTTTGTATTTTTACCCCTATTGACTTAAATATAATGAGGTTCAGGTTTCCTTTATCTGTTCCCCTTATGTGAAAGGAGGTTTTTTGGCTTCAGAATGAATAGAACATCATGTGTTTACAAAGTATTTCTCACTAGAACTTTATTTGGGACAAATGTTTAAAAAATCCCATATTCACTGGCGTTCCGGTATCTAAAGAGCTAATTGATTAATCCAAAGAATAATGAGCCAACCACAGGGGAAACTAGGAAAATTAGAACAATGTTCAAAACGTATAATGAGAAGCTATTAAATGACATACTCATTACACGCATCTATATCAAGTGATGAAGACTTTATTATAATGTTGATAATTATTAGCTCACAGCTTCTATCAACCCCAAAAAAGATAAGATGAATAAGATAATATAAAATAAGATTGATATTTTATACTTATTTGATCTCACACTGGAGAAATGTACATGGCATAGATACAATCAATGAAAAAGACAGAAGTGTTAAAGGTAAAAAATATAGTCTGTGCAGGATATAATTATGTACTCTAAAAAAGTGGCAATTAAAGAAAGAGTGGCAATAGCATTATTCAGTCCTTTAAGCATTAGTGACTTAAAGTGACTTATTGTACAGTCTGACAGCAGTGGGGATGAAGGCCCCGCAGTAGCGCTTCTTCTTGCACTGGGGGTGTCTCAGTCTTCGACTGAAGGAGCTCCTCAGCTCCTCTACAGTCCTGTGCAGTTGGTGGGAGGTGTTGTCCATGATGGAGGACAAAACATCTCAGAATATCAGAATCTTTGGAAAATTGACCAGAAGATAATATAGCCGTATACTGTATATGGTTTCACATTTTAAATTGAAGAAATAAATGCACTTTCCTAGAGTTTCATCTGTACATTGATTATCACAACAATCATTCATTACAGCTGTAATACAGTTATAATTACATTTTGCACCTCTCTGCCCTGGTAGTACAACTTGTCATTAATCTGAAAGTTGACGTGTTAATAATTGTACACTATATAATGACCCAAAAATCATTATTTTATTTCTAACTTTTATCAGTCAACAAGTCCAACAAGTCTTCACAGTTTACATTTCATCATGACCAGATTAGTTGTCAGTATTTGTTCTTAAATGGCTCTAATTGTGGCAGTAGCCATTGTTCCTCCTCATGCAGTCCCATCTGTATCTGATCCCATTCTGCTCATTCATGCATTTCACCTCCATCTGTGCTCTTCCTATTGGTATCTCTGCATCTCACTCTCTCCTCCCCCCTCCTCTGCTGCTTTCTCTCCTCTTAAAAAAAGGCTAAAATATTTAACAAAATCAAACAGATGCTGCTGCAGCCTCTTAGCTTCTGTAGCAGGAGGCAGGCGAGATAAGAAAGCCGTAGCTGCCTTTAAAGCTAAATAAAGATAAATTGATAGACAAAACATGTAATCATAGCGAAAATATTTACAAACCGCATCTTGCCCCCTATCATTTGTGCATTCGCGTATCGATCGGCGAGGAGAAGGTCATGGAGCCGAGACGAGATTAGCCCAGAGAGAAAGGGGAGGGAGGGACAGAGGAGACAAGGCAAGGAGACCAGCTTTCACCAGACAAAACACATTGAGATCACACGTTATATCGCATAGGCTGCTATGGGGGAGAACTATGTGTACCAGCGGCTGCCCTTCAACAGAGCGGAGGAGGAAGAGGACGCTGAGGATGACGAAGAGGAGAGAGGGAGGAGGATGAGTGCAAGAACGGGCACCAGCGGACAAATGGTAAAGACAAAAATGGTTTTACAAAGGCAGCTGTGAAAGGTGAAAGGAAGAGTGTGGGTGTGCTTGTGCGTGTTAGTGTGCGTGTGCGTGTTAGTGTGTGTGTGTATGCTATAGCCTGGAGTGATTTGGGGGTGGGGCTACTCTAGACTACTACTAAAGACTGGCTTTGTTACTGTACTAGGCATTCAATGTATGACGCAATCTATAGGATTGAGAAATGCGTAATACATACAGTAGAATTTACTCAGGACAATTAGATGAGGTGCAGCTGTCAGATAGGAAAGAAAAATGGCATGAAATATTTTATTGTTATTACAGGTCAATGTTACTTTTAGCAATATTACTGTTCGTAGCAGTGGCTCAACTCAATTAGAACCAAACATTATCCACAACCATGTAAAACTTGTATATTTAAACATGTAAAGTTTAAATATTTGACGTGACGGTTATTCTTTTAATTGGTCAATAAGTTGTTTAGATCACAAAATGCACATTATTACGTGATGTCCTTTCCCCACAATCTGAAATGTTCCCAGTGGGACGAACAAAAGGATCTTATTCTTAATAAATAGTGACTGCCGTTCCTCATAACTGGCTCGTTTGTTTTGCATTTACTATAATGCAAACATTTAAATGATTGATTCGCTTGAATTAGGGCTAAAAACCACTTAAACCTAAATGCTTGCTTATATTACTTGCTTGTTGCTCTTTAGTGAAAATGACACTTGAAACTACATTTGACTATTATTCATCATTTTTCCTCATCTCATAATCATTTGAACACATCATCTCATTGAATATGATAGAATTTCTGTTGCAATGCAGTGCACCGTTGGCTTGTAACTGTTTATTTACAGTATTTTCCAGCAAATTCTAATTCATAAATTGGAGATATAATATCATTCCTGTGGTGCTGTCAATGTGTCTCCAGGAGCTCAGTTAATTTCCGCTGCACTTAAATGTATCACTTCATTTCCTGCAAACATCAATATCTGTAATGGGTGTCCAGACTGCTTCAAGCTTAAAAGTTGGATTATGTCAACATCCCATGTTTTCTATGTTTATTCATGAACCACGTGTCCTGAGTTTGACACCACCTGATTAATAAGTATAGTATAGTATAGTATAGTATAGTAATAACAATAGTGTTTCTAGCATGTTCAGAATATATTTTTACCTTTATATTTGTCTGGAATCATGTCAGTATGTAACCTCTTAAAGGTTTCAAATAGAAGGCAGTCTGATTTGTTCACAATATTTTACTTTTGCAAGTTTTTCTTGACAAACAGCATGTATGTTCAAAGAGAAAATGTAAGTAAAGAAGCTTTAATTTTTTCATTGATTGTGCATGATTTTACTGCAGTGAGTGTGGTTAAACTTCTTATAGCTTTGTGTTACAGCAGTGGTTCTCAAAGGTTTCTTTTTTTTTTAAACTTAACCAGGAAAGTGCCATTGAGATTTACTCATTGTCATTGACATCACTTGACTTCAACATTTTTTTTCAATCTTTTCCTGTCCGTCTGTGTCTGTGTATCATATATGTCTGGGGTTTGGCTGTAGACAGTATTTTATTAAGCCAGCAGGTGGCAGCAGAGCTCTGTGGGTGTCAGACCATGTGGAGCGCACATACAGTACATACGCGCCCAAACACACAAAGACACACAACAGTATTCTATTGCACTTATAGTATAAGTATATTGTCTGTTCACTTTAGTTTATTGTCATTTATAGTGTTTATCATTGTAATTTTGCTTATCTCTGATTTACTCTTATTGACATAACACCAGTTAATGGATGAATACTGGCCATTCTTTCTGCCATAGTTTGTCATGGGCTCTACTTTCAATATGTAAATTTGGACGTTTTTTGGATGAGTACATTTTGAAATATTCGAGGAACACTTTGTGGATGTGGGTGTGTGTGCCATAAAACATATTTTGCATCAAAAACACTTTTTCTTTAAACTTTTTGCTGTTTTCTAACATGTAAGATCCTGGACACGTTTGAGGAGATGCTAAAGTTAAACTAAATAGTGTTACAGTCACTTGTCTGCAGGTTCGTCTGTTTTCACAAATGTTACACTTGTGAAATGTTACACTCACTGCAGCATTTTGACAGTTTTCTTGTTAAAAAGTTTGAGAATCACTGTTACATTACCTTGGCCCTCACCAACAACACTTCTGGACACTAATTACACAAGTTGACAGCCAAAAAATGGTCAGGGGTTTCTCAACTGATTTAGACTAATTTTGGTGTTCTGAGTCCGAATATTGCATGCATTTTGCTCTATCAGTTCAACTTTTTGAGATACAGCCATAGTGTTACGGATTACGTACGTCTACGTTATTATGAATTTTGCTTATCAAATTTGATGGAGTAAATAAAAACTTAATGACTTTGGATACGTTTACTTTTATTTCTTGAGGAAAACGGAAAAAACGTCAAGGGTTTCTCAGCTGATGATCCGCAGAAATATCCACAGAAATAAAAAACAGAAATAAAAAAATATTTCTGTAGCAAAAAATCCTGACCTGATTGAGCAAAACCAAGGTCATTTTCGGACTCAGAGCATCAAATTTACCTGGAAAACCCTGGACTATTTTCAAAAAATATTTTTTTGTTACCCAGTGTTATTATTATTATTTGTTTCCATCCCCCTCCTCTATCTCTGTGTGTGTCTGTGCGTGTGTGTGTAGATGCAGTGTGAAGAGGGGACAGAGTGGCTTCTGGAGCTGCTCACAGACGTCCAGCTACAGCAGTACTTCCTACGGATCCGAGATGAACTCAACGTCACTAGACTCTCGCACTTTGATTATGTCAAGAACGAGGACCTGGAGAAGATCGGCATGGGACGCCCCGGTATGAAATGTAGCTTTGTGATTTTAGCACTCTGCTTAATGCATCAGTGTGGTTGATATTGACAAAAGAGAAATGATGATGCAACAACATTTTTAAATTCTAATTAAGAAAGTTATGTTTTCCCTGTGTTTAGAAACTTCACCTAATGTATGTGTGCGTACAATGATGGACAGTCATAGAAAAGTCATGGGAAACTGTAAGCTCAAGTGTGTTCATAACTGTGCTATTCATTAGCTGACACTGTCTCTATACAGTATATGTGTGAAATGTTACACTCACTGCAGCATTTTGACAGTTTTCTTGTTAATTTGGTATTATATTTAACTATAATATTATCTTGTATTAGACAACATAATATTTGGAATTTGCCCATCGATTGAAGCTCTGTGGTGTCTGATGTTGTGATTTTAGGTCAGAGGAGGCTGTGGGAGGCTGTCAAGAGAAGAAGAGCACTTTACAAACGCAAATCCTGGATGAGCAAGGTTTACAAGCACATTTTATTTCAATATAAATAGATACTTTCAAAAAAGAAAATCATCTGTCCAAGGATATCACCTATAAAATATAAAATGATTATTGTGAGAAAATAACACAATTTATCAAATATTCACAATTATCGACAAAAGAAAGTAAAACATTTAATGTTGTAGAATTTCATGTGTCCAATATGTTTCAATTCCTCTTCTAAATTCATAAGTGCTTGGAGATGGTAAATACTTTATACTGGTTCTATCAGGGATAATAAAAACCTTGAGAACAATAGATTAAATGGGGCAAGTGGTATGTTTTTCGTTTTAACCAATAAGCATCAACATCGCTACCTCAGTCTCTGATTAAATAGTCTTCTTTCCCCACACTTTGTCCCCATAACCAGTGTCTTTGACCGCAGGTGTTCCCGGTGAAGCGACCGGACTCGGACCCGCAGCCCAGTGTGCAGGGGGCCTCAGGGGGGGCGGGGCCCAGCAGCAGTGAGGGCGGAGCCTCTCTCACCTGCCTGATCAGAGAGCCGGAGCTGCAGCTGTTAGAGCGGCTGGGAGACGGCACCTTTGGTGTAGTGCGCAGAGGGGAGTGGACAGCCCCCAATGGCAGAGTGGTGAGACAGAAGAGAACATTACAGTGTTTCTCAAAATGTGCTGCACAAGCTCCATTATTTGCCTGATTTCCGAGTTATTTTCAGAAGTAGAAACGGATCCATCCATACAAACAAAACAAATAAATACATAATTATAAGTACTATAAATTACTAAAAATAGTAATAAAGTGCAACAGCACTTTAGGTCACAGCAGCATAGGTGGTGTGATGAGCTGATTTCTATGACTAGCACATTTTAAAGCCCCAGTCATCCCTCTCTTAGTTTAGTTTAGTTTAGTTTATTTATTTAAGTTGACAGGGACAGTGTACAATAAAAATTAACCTCAAAGGGAAAGATGCACCTGGTATTACAGTGATCTCCCTTCACTGTGCATACAAGATCAGGGTTAGACTAAGAAAAAGCACATATTGGGCCTTTAAAAACCCAACAGTGGTCGGATTTTTTAGTCACAAATTTGTGACTAAAGTGGTTCTGATTTGTGGTTCAATAAAATGTTCTATGCTTTCCTGGCAGCTGTCTGTGGCTGTGAAGTGCCTGAAGGCCGGTGTGCTGGACTCCGACGGTCTGGATGACTTTATCAGAGAAGTCAACGCCATGCACTCGCTCAACCACCAGAACCTCATCCGCCTCCACGGCATCGTGCTCACTCAGCCAATGAAAATGGTCCGGGACAAAAATAGCCACAAGGCTAACAATATCACATCTGTGCTTGCTTACACTGTGCTGAATGCAGGCTTCTTTATCATGTGTAGGTGACTGAGTTGGCGCCTTTGGGATCACTTTTGGACCGGCTGCGAAAACGTCAAGGCCACATCCTGATCTCATCTCTGTGTAATTACGCTGTGCAGGTCAGAAAAAGGCAGCCGTTGGAAATAGACCACAACTTCCCCAGTATTTCATTGACTCAATGCATTCCTTCACACACTCTGCATGTTTGTGTCCCACCCAAACGTTTGGGCTTGATTTTCTGTCTGTTGTAAGTTCACATTGGAATATTTAGTATTAATATAGGTTAATAGTTGGTTGTTTTGTTGTATTTAAAAAATAAATATTTTATGTCTTATTATTCATACTATAGTCATTGTGAATAAGAGGTAAATACATCTTTTACATGTAGCAGTAGTTCAGAATTATTTGCTAAAATGCTACCATATATTTGTTTTTGTGTAGCCCTAAATCACAGTAGTCATCTTGGAGGACTTTACAAAGTTGTCGTTTCGCCAGCACAGATCAGAGAATCAAACAGTTCGAACACAACAAACACATAGGAGCCATTGGCCATTTATTAGACATGATTTCATTTATACACTGTACAGCTGTTAGCCTTATGGTATTTACCCAGTTCTTAATTTAAGCTACAAAAGTGAAAGTAATAATATTGGCAAATTACTCCACATTGTTTCATGTTTCTCCTATATAACAGTTGTTTTAGCGGTAATAGTATCCTCTTTGGCTCCTTTGTCGTAGGTGGCCTGTGGGATGGCATATTTGGAGTCGAAGCGTTTCCTGCATAGAGACCTAGCTGCGAGAAACGTCCTTCTGTCCACAAACGAAACCGTGAAGATCGGAGACTTTGGTTTAATGAGAGCTCTGCCCACTCACACCGATCACTATATCATGGAGGAGGGCCACAAGATACCCTTCCCCTGGTAGGTTACGGCAGGAGATAAAAGGACTGTTTTCTTTTAAATGTTTTAGGACAGTTTAGTCGTCAGTATATTTGCTTTTTTTTTTTTCAACAATTTACAATAACTTCATGTTGTGGTCTAAAAAGAGTCTTTTTAGACCACAACATGCTGTCTTGTCATTAGAACACATGTTGTCTTTTGCACACTCACTACACGTCACTATTTGACGCTTTGGGCTGCACTGCAAAAAGTGATGAAGAACAGTTCTTGAATTAAGACTAAATGGCTTTGTCCCATTGGCAAAGGTAAAGTTAAAGGTGCACTTTATTAATCCCTGCAGAGCAATTTATAATCTGCATTTGACCCATCCTATTGTTGCTAAGGCTTACGTGGTCGCCGTAGTACAGCGCTCGGGAACACATCTCCAGGTGTTGATGCTCGGGTTGGTCAGGACTACCGGAGCTGGAGGATTTTACCTACTATGCATGTTTTTAATCATGTTTTAAAAATGTCAGAATGTACTCAGATTAAGATTTTAAAAAACACTTTTTTTTAAGCCATTTCGTCTTATTTCAAGAACTGCTTTATTTTCTCTGTCAAGGGAGACATTTCTTGTATCTTTAACAAGATAATTTTGCTTGTCCCATTGCCAAATGTTTTAAGATTGTGAAAATGTGCTCAAATTAAGATACATTTGGCCAAATTTGAGCAATTTTTGACTTATTCTTCAGCAATTATTACCTGATATTTTATCATTTTTTGGATTGTGAGAGCTGACTACCTGAGTGAGGGTGGTGCTCTCTTTCTTACTTTCCTGCTGTTATTTTGGTTGTACAAATAAAAATAGTAAATGAAATGTTCCTGAACACAAACTTATGGCAATGATCCTCTGTGCAGGTGTGCTCCGGAGTCGCTGAAATCTCGTTCTTTCTCTCATGCGTCTGATACCTGGATGTTCGCCGTCACTCTGTGGGAGATGTTCACGCACGGACAGGAGCCGTGGCCGGGACTCAATGGAAGCCAGGTAAAGGCACAGAAGTCTATTCATCGGTGTAATTGAACTATAATCAAAGGACCAGGCATTGTTTGCTTACTTGAGTGTTGCTTGAGTGGCTAATTTAGGGTTTTTGATCCCTCCACGCTAATATCTGGAACCTCTTGCAAAAATATGTAACTTAGATTAACCCCTTCTCCTGTCTGTAATTGCACCACTCTCAGAGCAGATTTGAGAAATAGTTTATATATATATATATATATATATATATATATATATATATATATATATATATATTTCTTTTCAACTCCTCCCTCTGGCGGTATCATAGGAGATTACAGGACGAAAGAATTTTCTACCCTTCTTACTTGTTTCACCATATATTTTCTTCTTAAGATATTTTTTTCACGTTCTAAAACATGACAAATATAGTCTTCTTATCACTGAGAATGGCTAATATTTCTTCTTTGAGCAAGCCAAAGTTGTCTCTTAGATCAGCATCTATCAATTCATATAAATAGATGTGGTCGTCTTGTAGATCCTGCATAAGGTGGACGTGGAGGCGGAGCGTCTGTCCAAACCTGACGACTGCCCTCAGGACATTTACAACGTGATGCTACAGTGTTGGAGCCCCAAACCTGAGGACAGACCCACTTTCGTCGCTCTCAGAGACTTCCTGCTGGAGGTATTGGGCCTCATGTATGAAACTTGCGTACGGCCAAATCAGGGTGTAAATGATGCGAACGCAAAAAATTCACACTTTTCCGCATTTATCAATCTGGACGTGAGCGTACGGTACGCACAGAATTTACACCAAGTCAATAGGTGGTGTAAATGTGTACGCTCATTTTACCCTTCGTCACAACACACCAAAACACGCATGAAATTAAAGATTTGGACAACAATAAACATGTTCCCACTCTGGCAACATTATAAGCTGCGTTTTCATGGAGCATCATGTTTCGGAATTTGAATTTGCGCATCAGAAAAAGTCTAACACTCTGGAAACACGCAAACTTCGAATAAATCACAGATCATGATGAGGAGCCTCTTCTGTTTCTATGATTTTAAATCTGACTTCTGTGTGTATTATTTTGATCTGTATGTTTTTAAAATGTGAAGTGCTTTGTGATCCTGGACAGTGAAAGGGTCTATACAAATACACTTTACGCAACAGGGATGTGTGACCCAGCTATTGCTGTGGCAGGCTCTGCGCTGCGTAATTACGCACGGCTATTTGTATTCCTCATTCACATCTGGTAAAGCAATGTATGTTTTCATTAGATTTGTGTAAGCCTCACACAGACACACATCCCATTAACGCATGGGCCGATGGACTATGGTATTGCTCACTCCAAATGTCTCACTGCCCTGTCCACCCGCTGCGCACTCTTGGGAGTGCATCCACAGCAGGTGCCATGAGAGACGCGCCTCATAACTCCTCAAATGCTGTCATTCAGAAGTTTTGGCTCTAGAGTTTCTCTAAAATCTGGACCGCAAACGCTCTCGCAACTGTACAGCGCTTCAGTGCATTCACAAGACGCTGCAGACGCTTCATTGATGAGAGCCACTCTGCACAATATTAATTAATTAATTAATTCATTCTTTATTTATTCGCTTCTATCAAAAAATGTCTGCAAATTTGTTCAAAACGCAGCTGAATAAATAGCGTTGCGTATATAGCGTATATTTATTTTTACGTATGCATGAACAACCTGTGGCAGACCCTGCGCCGTACACGTAATTACGCATATGTTTTGCCTCATTCACCTCTGGCAAAGCAATGTATGTTTTCCTTAGTTTTGTGCATAAAGCCCCATAAATGCACCTGATCTTGCTCAAAACTGTCTCAGGCACTGCCCTTTACTGTGCATAGCAGAGATACAGTGCCTTGCGAAAGTATTCAGTCCCCTTGAACCTTTCAACATTTCGCCACATTTCAGGCTTCAAACATGAAGATATCAAAATTTTATTTTTTGTCATGAATCAACAACAAGTGGGACACAATCGTGAAGTGGAACAAAATGTATTGGATAATTTAAACTTTTTTAACAAATAAAAAACTGAAAAGTGGGGCGTGCAATATTATTCGGCCCCTTTACTTTCAGTGCAGCAAACTCACTCCAGAAGTTCAGTGAGGATCTTTGAATGATCCGATGTTGTCCTAAATGACTGATGATGATAAATAGAATGCACCTGTGTGTAATCAAGTCTCCGTATAAATGCACCTTCTCTTTGATAGTCTCAGGGTTCTGTTTAAAGCGCAGAGAGAACCATGAAGACAAAGGAACACACCAGGCAGGTCCGAAATACTGTTGTGGAGAAGTTTAAAGCCGGATTTGGATACAAAAAGATTTCCCAAGCTTTAAACATCTCAAGGAGCACTGTGCAAGCAATTATATTGAAATGGAAGGAGTGTCAGACCACTGCAAATCTACCAAGACCCGGCCGTCCCTCCAAACTTTTATCTCAAACAAGGAGAAGACTGATCGGTGATGCAGTCAAGAGGCCCACGATCACTAAGGATGAACTGCAGATAACTACAGCTGAGGTGAGAGAGTCTGTCCATAGGACAACAATCAGTCGTGCACTGCACAAATCTAGCCTTTATGGAAGAGTGGCAAGAAGAAATCCATTTCTCAAAGATATCCACAAAAGTCTTGTTTAAAGTTTGCCACAAGCCACCTGGGAGACACACCAAACATGTGGAAGAAGGTGCTCTGGTCAGATGAAACGAAAATCGAACTTTTTGGCCACAATGCAAAACGATATGTTTGGCGTAAAAGCAACACAGCTCATCACCCTGAACACACCATCCCCAATGTCAAACATGGTGGTGGCAGCATCATGGTTCGGGCCTGATTTTCTTCAGCAGGGACAGGGAAGATGGCTAAAATTGATGGGAAGATGGATGGAGCTAAATACAGGACCATTCTGGAAGAAAACCTGTTGGAGTCTGCAAAAGACCTGAGACTGGGACAGAGATTTATCTTCCAACAGGACAATGATCCAAAACATAAAGCCAAATCTACAATGGAATGGTTCACAAATAGACGTATCCAGGTGTTAGAATGGCCAAGTCAAAGTCCAGACCTGAATCCAATCGAGAATCTGTGGAAAGAGCTGAAGACTGCTGTTCACAAACGCTTTCCATCCAACCTCACTGAGCTCGAGCTGTTTTGCAAGGAAGAATGGGCAAGAATTCCAGTCTCTCGATGTGCAAAACTGATAGAGACATACCCCAAGCGACTTGCAGCTGTAATTGCAGCAAAAGGTAGCGCTACAAAGTATTAGCGCAAGGGGCTGAATAATATTGCACGCCCCACTTTTCAGTTTTTTATTTGTTAAAAAAGTTTAAATTATCCAATAAATTTTGTTCCACTTCACGATTGTGTCCCACTTGTTGTTGATTCTTGACAAAAAAATAATGTTTTATATCTTTATGTTTGAAGCCTAAAAATGTGGCGAAATGTTGAAAGGGGGCCATATACTTTTGCAAGGCACTGTAGGATGCAACGCGCACCAGCAGTATAGTTCATTCATTTATTATTTATTTATTTACGTCGAAATTTCAGGAGAGATGAGTGCTGCAGTGGGTCTAGACACTAGGGAAAAAAGTGTATATATAATATAGCGTATATATTTTTTTTAAAAAACGTGAATAAACTCAAAAGAGCGTGCTTTTTGCGGCTTCTTAGCCGACTTCCTGCTGACCTGTCGCAAAAATAGGGCGTGGAACAGGCAGTTTCTGAATATTTCTAGGCGTGACTTTCATAAATACGCTGATTTTGAGCGCGGCATTTATCAACAGCCACAGGAGCGTACGCTCAGATCTGTGCGTATCTCACAAGTTCATAAATGCCACGTCAGATCTTGCGTATCTGGGATCTACACCCAAAATTTACACCTTTTTCTGCGCAATTTATGAGGCCCATTGTCTCAGAAACTTTCAAGTCCTGTTTATGCTTATACTATTCTAGAAAGAATTATTGTTTAGTTGTTCAATGTAATCACTATACATGGATCACTGATTCTTGCAGCCACAGTAGGATTAATTACTGTTCTGGGTGATGTGAAACAATATATAACAATATATACACTCACCGGCAACTTTCTTAGGTACACCTATCCAACTTCACTTTAATGCTAATTTCTTATCAGCCAATCACATGGCAGCAACTCAATGCATTTAGGCATTCATACATGGTCAAGACAATCTGCTGCAGTTCAAACCGGGCATCAGAATGTGGAAGAAACGTGATTTAAGTGACTTTGAACGTGGCATGGTTGTCGGTGCCAGACGGGCTGGTCTGAGTATTTCAGAAACTTCTGATCTACTGATATTTTCACACACAACCATCTCTAGGGTTTACAGAGAATGGTCCGAAAAAGAGAAATTATCCAGTGAGCGGCAGTTCGGTGGGTGAAAATACCTTCTTGATGCCAGAGGTCAGAGGAGAATGGCCAGACTGGTTTGAGCTGATAGAAAGGCAACAGTAACTCAAATAACCACTTGTTACAACAAAGGCATGCAAGAGAGCCTCTCTGAACACAGAACACGTCAAACCTTGAGGCAGATGGGCTACAGTAGCAGAAGACCACACCGGGTGCCACTCCTGTCAGCTAAAAACAGGAAACTGAGGCTACAATTCAGGCTCACCAAAATTGGACAATAGAAGATTGTAAAAAGTTGCCTGGTCTGATGAGTCTCGATATCTGCTGCTGGTTGGGTCAGAGTTTGGAGTCAACAACATGAAAGCATGGATCCATCCTGCCTTGTATCAACGGTTCAGGCTAGTGGTGGCGTTTAATGGTGTGGGGGATATTTTCTTGGAACTCTTGGAGTCCCTTAGTACCAATTGAGCATCGTTGCCACGCCACAGCCCACCTGAGTATTGTTGCTGAACAATCCCTTTACGACCACAGTGTACCCATCTTCTGATGGGTACTTACAGCAGAATAAAACACCTTGTCATAAAGCTCAAATCCTCAGACTGGTTTCATGACAATAAGTTCACTTTACTGTAATGGTCTCCAAAGTCACCAGATCTCAATCCCAAGAGCACCTTTGGGATGTGGAGGAACAGGAGATTCTTATCATGGATGTGCAGCCGACAAATCTACAGAAACTAATCAAATATGGACCAAACTCTCTGAGGAATGTGTCCAGTACCTTGTTGAATCTATGCCATGAAGGATTAAGACAGTTTTGAAGGCAAAAGGGGGTCCAACCCAATGCCAGCAAGGTGTACTTAACAAAGTGGCCGGTGAGTGTATTTTATATTATTGAAGAAAACCGATTTATGACTCATCTGCAGAAAGAGACAAACCACTAAAATTGCATTTGCCATTTTACTTAGCAGGTGCTAACCTGGCACCTGGATAATAAATATACCTCCTCACCTTGTGAATTTTCCTAAATTGTTGTAATCCATTCTTACATTTTGCTTCTCCTACAATTAGGGTTTCCAACAATAGCATATTTTAAAATCTACTGTATAGATTTGAATAAGCTTTAACCTTTACATAATTTGGTCATCTTCAATGTGTTCCAGACCATGCCCACAGATATGAGAACTTTACAAGACTTTGAGGAGGAAGACAAGCTGCAGATAAAAATGAATGACGTCATCACCATCATCGAGGGAAGGTCAGCTTGAAGAATCTTTTTTATCAGCCAAAGATTTTGAGTCTGTATTGACTTTTGGGGGAGAAAACACCCACATGTAGCTCATTCTCTGCAAACTAATTCAACAAGTTTAGTTTGGAACAAAACTCCATGAATATATTATGATATTCTTTTTTATATATTACGCTCACAGAAAGCTTTTGGTTACAGGAAACTTTGCGTCATTTCGGAAAAGCCTTTCTTTTTTACACATTTTGGACATCTTCTCATTGACCTCTTGTTTCCTGGTCTAGGGCAGAGCATTACTGGTGGCGTGGTCAGAATCGGCGCACTCTCCGCATGGGACAGTTCCCTCGTCATGTGGTGACGTCGGTGGCCGGTCTGTCAGCGCAGGACATCAGCCGCCCACTAAAACACTCCTTCATCCACACGGGACATGGGGACACAGACCCCCACAGGAGCTGGGGGTTTGCCGACCGCATCGACAGGTACGCACACCCAATGCTCGTCCAACTATGTCTTTTGGTTCACAATTTGACATCTTGAAAAATGGCACACCTTGGGACAATAACTGGTAATAAAGCTGGGGTACTATTTTTTTCCCCTCTATGTAATAAAGTCATCAAACTAGTTCCTCGCTCTCAAAACAGTTTGGTGCTATCACTGGTTTGTCGGATGTATTTTTGGTGTCAGTCACATCTTTAGATCAGAAAGAGATTCTCACCCTCTCTCAACCAATCAGATCTCAGCCCAAAGTGACTCACAGGGCTCTTTCTTACAAGTATGCAAAAGATAATATGCTTTTTAAGATATAGACGGCTTCTTATAGTCTTACCTAGACTGTTGGAAAATACATAGCAAAAACAAAGGGATTTTCAACAATAAAAAACCCTTGACCCTTGTTAAGTATTATAGATATATGCAATCCTGCAATGGGTATTTTTTTAATCATGATAATCATAAACCATGGTCATTTTACACCCTGCCTTCGGCACATAATAAACGCTTTGAACAATCACCAGTTTGATTTTTATTTGATTCGTGTTTATAATTATTATTATTATGTGTTTATTTGATAGGGACAGAACAAGAAGTATTGTTACAGGAACCAATGCTATGTTCATGCTAGTTTACAGACCTGGTCCCTAAGCTGCCCACAGTCTTTTTTCTCTCCACTGGAGGGCAGCAGAGAACAAGTAGAAACGTTTTTTTTTTTTTTTTTAGTTTGTATTTAGGAAATCCAATGGACCCTCCTGATGTTCTTGGTTCAACTCCTGCTGAAGCGAGGCCAACTAAACTTCCCAATCGTGCCAAAAGTAAATAAACAGAACACACATTTTTAAATTGGCATGTTTGATCTTGGAAAAGTAATGCAAAAAAGTTGTAATATCTTTTCTGTTTTGATTAGAACAACCTCCACCTCGGCCTCCTCAGCCTGCCATTCTGCTCAAAAGTAAGTCATGTGTGTATAGATTTCAATTGACAATAGAGCTAATGAGCATTTTCTGCTATGTATTCCTGATAAAATTTAAACTAAGTATTATTTATTTACATTTTGGACAGTAAAAGGGGTAAGAAGCATAGTAAAAAGAGCAGAAAAAGGAAAAAAAAAAGACTTCAGCACTGGTTTAACTTTGATTTATTCATGTAATCTCTGCTCAAATGATCACATTCAGAACTTGATTTCCTTTTAGTTGTTCTAGGAAACAGCAGCTTTGTTATATTTGAAATAATTACATTTAAGTTTATTTTATTAATATGTTTAATATTTCCAGAGCCATTTTATGATTCGGTGTTGGACGATTATGAGGATGAGGAGGACACCAGTGCTTCGTCTGGTCTGAAGAAGCTGGGAGTGTCTCTGGGGCTGAAGCTCAGGCCGTGGGAGGCTGGAGTGCGATCGGCCAAAAGTGAAGTGTCTTTGATTGACTTCACTGACGACAGCTTCAGTTCCACAACGCCCTCCCCCCTCACTGAGGCTCCGCGGGACAACGACACGCTCAAGGTACCAACTACAAAGTACCAGGGCTCTAAGCAGTCTGCCAGAAGTTGGAACTTCAGGCTATTTGGGCTTTATGCTGTTCTAGACTCCACAATGTTCATTCAAACCATACAACCACACTGCTCCTCGTTGTTTAATCTGCTTATACAATTGTAAAAACACTCTCACACATATGTACAGTGCCTTGCGAAAGTATTCGGCCCCCTTGAACCTTTCAACATTTCGCCACATTTCAGGCTTCAAACATAAAGATAGAAAAATATTTTTTTTTGTCAAGAATCAACAACAAGTGGGACACAATCGTGAAGTGGAACGAAATGTATTGGATAATTTAAACTTTTTTAACAAATAAAAAACTGAAAAGTGGGACGTGCAATATTATTCGGCCCCCTTGCGCTAATACTTTGTAGCGCCACCTTTTGCTGCAATTACAGCTGCAAGTCGCTTGGGGTATGTCTCTTTCAGTTTTGCACATCGAGAGACTAGAATTCTTGCCCATTCTTGCTTGCAAAACAGCTCGAGCTCAGTGAGGTTGGATGGAGTTTGTGAACAGCAGTCTTCAGCTCTTTCCACAGATTCTCGATTGGATTCAGGTCTGGACTTTATGATGGGCAGTAAAGTGACTTTATAAAGGACAGGTTAAGAAGTGTTCAAGAGTCCAACAGCAGAGGGGAAGAAACTGTTCTTGTGGCGGGAGGTTCTAGTCCTGATGGACCGCAGCCTCCTGCCTGAGGGGAGTGGTTGGAATAGTCCATGTGCAGGGTGAGAGGGGTCGGCTGTGATACGACCAGCCCGGCCTCGAGCTCGGGCGACGTACAGGTCCTGCAGCGATGGAAGGCTGCGGCCGATCACTTCCTCTGCAGAGTGCACAATGCGCTGTAGTCTCTGTTTGTCCCTGACTGTGGCTCCAGCGAACCACACGGTGATGGAGGAGGTGAGGATGGACTCGATGATGGCCGTGTAGAACTGCACCAACATCTGTGCAGGCAGCTTGGCTTTCCTGAGCTGCCGCAGGAAGTACATCCTCTGCTGGGCCTTCTTGATGAGGGAGCTGATGGTCGGCTCCCACTTGAGGTCCTGGGTGATGGTGGTGCCCAGGAAACGGAAGGACTCCACAGAGGTGATGGGGGAGTCCATCACGGAGGGTGGGGGCGGGGGGACAGTGCTCTTCCTGAAGTCCACAATCATCTCCACTGTCTTCTGGGCGTTCAGCTCCAGGTTGTTACCACTGCACCAGGACACCAGCCGGTCCACCTCCCTCCTGTAGGCGGACTCATCGTTGTTGGCGATGAGTCCAATGAGGGTGGTGTCGTCCGCGAACTTGATCAGCTTCACGGAGTCGTGGCTGGAGGTGCAGTGGTTGGTGTACAGGGAGAAGAGCAGGGGAGAGAGAACACAGCCCTGTGGGGCTCCTGTATTTATGTGAGATTTCATAACACTTTGAAGCAACTTTTGTTAAAGTTAAACTCATCATTCTATCAATGTGCAGAAGCCAGTACTTTTCCCTTGTTTTGTCTATCTGAAGGCCAAGCTACATGGCACCGTGGAAGCTGCTGATTGGAGGTCTCCATGCCTCCGCTCTGTATAATACACTTGCATTCTATTGTATCTGTGTTCGTGTTCGTGCTGTCTCTACCATCGACAATAAAACATGTCTTCTGTCTGAATTTAAGACGCGATCCCAGACTTGGCACATCTTCTTCAGGTGGTGGAAGGATGCGGGCCTTGTCTGTAACATCTAGGGAACAATAGACTTTTTTTTACACAAGTTTTTTTTTTTTTCCAAGCCAAAACTGAAAAACCTCAAGAGAATGCATCTGGATCAGCACATGGACAATCTGCACAGCCCCTGATTCCACTCAGGCTGTGAGCTGCTGACACATGGACAATACCATCGTCCTCTTTTGCATGGACACCATTTGGAACAATTGGATTACACAATTTGGACATGATTTGGAACAATCTGGATTTCTGAATTTGGACATCATTTGGACTGAATTGGATTTCTGAATCTGGACACTGAAGCTGAAACGTGTGATTGAAAGACACGTCACAGAAGAATTCATGGCTCGACACAACAGATGCTGACATATGCAGCCTGAAGAATCAACACGGAGAAGTGGGAGAGACTGTTTTCAAAGCAATATCTGGGAACCACCATCGACTGATGAAGTTTGGTATTTTACTGAAGATTGTTGACAAGTTTTATGAAAGATCTGAAAATGTTTTATGAGTTTTCTGAGTTTTTGAAGTATTCCGAGTTCTGAGTTTTTTGAGGTACCGAGTGAAGTACCGAGTTTATGAGTTTTTGAAGTATTGAGATATGATGTTATGTTGCTGTTTATTGATCCTGATGGTCACACGTGAATGTATGACCAGAGGGGGGAATGTGAGATTTCATAACACTTTGAAGCAACTTTTGTTAAAGTTAAACTCATCATTCTATCAATGTGCAGAAGCCAGTACTTTTCCCTTGTTTTGTCTATCTGAAGGCCAAGCTACATGGCACTGTGGCAGCTGCTGATTGGAGGTCTCCATGCCTCCGCTCTGTATAATACACTTGCATTCTATTGTATGTGTTCGTGTTCGTGCTGTCTCTACCATTGACAATAAAACTTTGTCATCTTCTTCATTTATAATCCGAGAGTCCGAGACATTCTTCCCCAGACGCACTCGCTGCTTCCTGTCCGTCAGGAAGTCAGTGATCCACCTGCAGGTGGAATCGGGCACGTTGAGCTGGGAGAGCTTGTCCTGGAGCAGGGATGGCAGGATTGTGTTGAAGGCAGAGCTGAAGTCGACGAACAGGACCCTGGCGTAGGTCCCCGGGGAGTCCAGGTGCTGTAGGACGTGGTGGAGGGCCAGGTTAATGGCGTCGTATACAGATCTGTTGGCTCTGTAGGCGATCTGCAGGGGGTCCAGGAGGGGGGAGGTGGGAGAGAACCAGGCGTTCAAATGACTTCATGACTACAGACGTAAGTGCTACAGGTCTGTAGTCATTGAGTCCTGTGATCCTGTGCTTCTTCGGGACGGGGACAATGATGGAGGATTTGAAGCAGGCCGGAGCATGGCAGGACTGCAGAGAGGTGTTGAAAATGTCAGTGAACACAGGAGTAAGCTCACTGGCGCAGTGTCTCAGAGTGGCCGGAGACACGTGGTCCGGGCCAGGAGCTTTGCGGGGGTGCAGCCTCAAGAAGAGTTGTTTAATCTCTTTAGCGGCTATTGTTAGGCTGGGGGCAGGGCTGATGGGTGGGTCGTTAGAGTAGTGGGGGGTGGGGGAGGGAGAGGTGTCAGGGGCAGCATCAAAGCGACTGAAAAATAAGTTCAGTTCGTCAGCTAGCTTGTGGTCGTCAGCACAGGGGGGGGCTTTGGGTTTGTAGTTGGTGATCTCCCGTAGGCCCCTCCAGACAGAAGCAGTATCGTTGTTACCAAACTGCTCCTGTAGTCGTTCTCTGTGCCGGGACTTGGCTGCTTTCAGTTCTTTCCTGAACTGATATTTAGCTTCTTTGTAGCCGCTGCGGTCCCCCTCCCTGAAAGCAGACTCCTTTGCTTTCCTGAGCTGCCGGAGTTTAGCAGTGAACCAGGGTTTGTCGTTGTTATAGATGACCCTGGTCCTTGTTGAAATGATGCTGTCCTCGCAGAAGTGAATGTATGACGTCACAGTGTCCGTATATTCATCCAAACTATCTGTGGCAGCTCTGAAAAGGTCCCAGTCTGTAGATTCCATGCATCCGCGCAGCTCTTCCACAGCTTCATCAGACCACACTTTGGAGCCCCTCACTGCAGGTCTCGAGAGCTTTAGTCTGTAAGCAGGAACCAGATGTATCATGGAGTGATCTGAGAAGCCGAGGGCTGGCTTGGGAACAGCGCGAAAAGCTCCGCGCACGGTGGTGTAGCAGTGATCCAGAGTGTTCTCCTCTCTGGTCGGGCATTTGATAAACTGTCTGTATTTGGGTAATTCCTGGCTCAAGTTTCCCTTATTAAAATCCCCCAGGATAATAATCAGAGAGTCCGGGTATAAGCGTTCCATACACAGTACTTGCTCTGCGAGTGCGCGCTGAGCCTCGCGCGCGTCCGCGCATGGCGGTAGGTAAACAGAGGCAAGAATGAATGAAACAATTTCACGCGGGGATTAAAATGGTTTACAATGGATGAAAAGATATTCCAGAGCAGGAGAACAGTGCTTGGAGATCACTGTCACATCGTTACACCAGTTTGTATTGACGTAGAAACACAGTCCACCGGCTCTGCTCTTCCCTGAGAGCGCACAATGGCGATCCGCGCGGAACAGCCCAAAACCCTGCAGCTCCAGAGCGCAGTCCGGGATCCGCTCATTTAGCCAGGTCTCAGTGAAGCAGAGGACACAGGATGTGGCGAAGTCCTTGTTTCTTCTCATGAGCAGGCTGAGTTCGTCCATCTTATTGCCCAGTGAGCGTACGTTGGAGAGAAAAATGACGGGGAGAGCCGTGCGCGCTCCTCTCCTCCTCAGACGCACGAGCAGGCCTCCGCGCTTTCCCCTTTTACGGGCCCACACTTTTTTGGCTAGAACATGAACTAAATCAGCCGCAGATGCCAAGAAAACAGGCAATAGGTCCATGGGAACGGTGGGTCGGATGTTCATAAGTTCCTCACGGGTGTAGGAACAGCCAGATGCACAGTTAAAAAGTAAAAACAAAAGAAAAAGAGAGCAGCAAAGAGCCATGTCGACCGTACGAGGCGCCATCTTTGTTGTTATGATCCAAAGGCCAGATTTGTGCAGTGCACGACTGATTCTTGTCCTATGGACAGACTCTCCCACCTCAGCTGTAGTTATCTGCAGTTCATCCAGAGTGATCATGGGCCTCTTGGCTGCATCTCTGATCAGTCTTCGCCTTGTTTGAGATGGAAGTTTGGAGGGAGGGCCGGGTCTTGGTAGATTTGTAGTGGTCTGATACTCCTTCCATTTCAATATAATTGCTTGCACAGTGCTCCTTGATGTTTAAAGCTTGGGAAATCTTTTTGTATCCAAATCCGGCTTTAAACTTCTCCACAACAGTATCTCGGACCTGCCTGGTGTGTTCCTTTGTCTTCATGGTTCTCTCTGCGCTTTAAACAGAACCCTGAGACTATCAAAGAGCAGGTGCATTTATACGGAGACTTGATTACACACAGGTGCATTCTATTTATCATCATCAGTCATTTAGGACAACATTGGATCATTCAAAGATCCTCACTGAACTTCTGGAGTGAGTTTGCTGCACTGAAAGTAAAGGGGCCGAATAATATTGCACGCCCCACTTTTCAGTTTTTCATTTGTTAAAAAAGTTTAAATTATCCAATAAATTTCGTTCCACTTCACGATTGTGTCCCACTTGTTGTTGATTCATGACACAAAATTAAATTGTTATATCTTTATGTTTGAAGCCTTAAATGTGGCGAAATGTTGAAAGGTTCAAGGGGGCCGGATACTTTCGCAAGGCACTGTATATATTTTGTCGCAGACCCTCACACATTTTTTTTTGAGGAAATAGACTACTTTGAGCCAAGAGCCAAAGCTCCTTAGTCTAACACACACAGCGGAAAAAAAGCCTTTTCTACATTTAACTTGTGAATTTGACAAAACAATACATATTTAACATATTTTACAATCATATTCTGATGTTGAATAAACAGACTTTTTAAAGTAACTTAATAGTCAATCAATAATCAAGACTGTAAGCAATGTATTTGAGCTCAATGCTGTGTGTTACTATGTTCAATAAGTTAAGTACAAGTAGTGTAAAATGTAAACATATCAGACCACAACATTCTCTCACATCAGAGAAAGAAAACATGTTATCTTTTGCAGACTTTTATCTGTCACATTTCTGTCTGGAAATTTACAGTTAGGTACCCCAGCGTTAAAGATACCCCATCTTGGAAAATAAATGGTTTAAAACACAAACCAAGACTGGGAAAAACATAATCATTTGTATTCTCTGAATAAAGCCAGCGAAATTGTAAATGAGTCTGTAAACGCAAGATCACAAGTGTAAATGTTTGTCTGTGGATCGGCGGCAGGACACTCCGTCGATCCTCGACTGGCCGCTGCCTCAGCCAGCCTACGACGAGGTGTCTGTAGAGATGGAGGAGCCGAGTGAGGACCAGGAGGTGAGGAGCATCAACAAGACCCAGAGTGAAGAGGCTGTGACCGAAGCCAAACCTGCTTCCAGGAGCGAATCCCAGTCTGCAGATCTGTTCCAGGAGCTCCAGAGAGAGGTGGGCAATGGAACTAAAACAAATGCTTTTTACCGTGTTTCCTTATTCCTTCATTAATTACTTAATTGGTGCGTTTTAAGCTCTGTCCAAGCTAATATCCGCTTCCAAAACACAATTGTATTTACAATTACTGTTTGAGTGTGCTAAGGGAAGGTTGCGAGACGCCTTTGAAAGCATGTGCAAATAAACTGAATTCCAGAGATTCTGAGTTTTACAACAAGGTACAACATGCCTGTATTGGCGTTTTGTTTGTCATACTTATCAGCCCCTGATTTCTTATCTCTCTCTTGAAGGTGATGGTAAAGCTGCAAGTTCCCATGACAACGGGCCGCTCCCTCCCCTCCTCGCCACTCCCTCTCCTGCCCCTCTCTCCCCTCACCCCTCACAGACAGATCTACCTGCCCACCTCCTCCCCCTCCTCTGGGAGCTCCTCCTTCAGCGTCTGTTTGGAGGAGCTTCAGCAGCAGCAGCAGAAGCAGGCACCGCCGCGGCCTCTGCTGCCCCCACGTAGCCCTGCCCCCCCCCTGCGCAGGTACAGCCCCGTGCACAAACCCAGCCAGCCACGCTCCAGCTCCGTCTCCCTGGGCAATGACCAGGACACACCGCCACAGATACCGCCGCGAGACCACACAGCGTTCTCGCAGCCGGCTTCGCGCTCGTCCTCACCGCTGCCGCTGGTCCCCATGGCAATACCCCCACCTCCGCAGCCCGTGTCGCCGCGTAGGACGGCGGGACTGTACGGCCCCCTGGTGTCCACTGCGTCCCCTGCTCACAAACCCCTATCCTCGTGCACCGCTGCACTGTTGGACCCGCTGGTCTGCAGGGATGGGCGGGGCTTTCCTTCCTTGATTGACAGCTCACAGACCACGCCTCCACTCCCGCTGCCGGAGCGCCCGGCGTTTTTGGAAAGGTTAGTAGAGATGGGTGCTGTTAGTTTTCGACGATTAATCAGTCAATGACATCCGAGTTGACCATTGGTTTCCTATCATTTCTGAGGCTTTATAAGAGAATACACTGTCGGTACTTTCTACTGACAGAAGCCGGCAGAAAAATGTTTAATCTAGATTGTGGAAAAGTTCTGACAAGATAATATCATTTTCATGGATCCTCCACCCTGACCTTAAACGTGAATGTCAGATCTTCCCGATAAATCAAAAATAATAATTATCAACCTTGATTGATCCCCTTTGGTTTAGCAATTCTCCTTCAGCAAATGTGATTAGATGGTGGCTATGCCAAGCGAAGGGACTATTTTAAATGTTAAAAAAATATATTTGATTATTTCACAGACTTCACTTTTTAATGAGAGTGTTTGTTATTGTCTAGATACGGAGCCGCCAACATGGCCGCAGTCAAACCCATAGTGGTGCAGCCGCCTCCCAAACCAAACTCCTCACACAACAACAACAACGGACGCACGCCAAATCCCAGCATGCTCCCTGAGCAGAGCATCGTGAAGGTAATTACATGCTCTGTTCTTTTGGAGTCAAAATCACAATAGTCATGTATTTGAAAACATTCAAATCATAGATATACCTGTACACAGCTGTATTCTGATGTTATACAGTATATTGTTTTACCTTAAACTATTCCATCAAGTAGTTAGTGCTAGATCATCTAGTTTTCTTTGGGTTTCAGAAAATCTAAGCATTTGTTGTTTGTTATGGATAGGTGCATGGAGAGGTTCACGGTGTCACACTTGAAGAATGTCGGGCCGCTCTCGTCTCCCACAGCTGGAGCATCCCTCGGGCCATAAACCATCTGAAGGTGAGAAAAGCATTGATCTAATCTAAGTGAGCAAACATGTGAATGTTTGCTCACTATCGCAACCATAGAGCAGCTTTGCTTTAAGCAAACGTGAATCTAGTAAGTAAGTAAGTTATCTTTATTCTTATAGCGCATTTTTAATGACCGAGGTCACCCAAGGTGCTTTACAATGTTCAGAGTTCAGATATTGTTCAATTTTTTCCCCATGGGGATGATGGAAGTGAGACGCTGAACCCACCGTCATCAAAGCCTCCAACCAAACACCATCCATTCACTCGGATAGATCACCCCTGCTCCAGCCAATCAGCACTCAGCCTACAGTGTCATGGCTCTGCTTAAAGGTATAAAGGAGAATTTTCTTTTTCTGGTTGGATCATCTAAACTATTGGTCCTCCTATTTGTCAATCATTCTAGTGATATGCGAGACACATTTTAATAGGTGTTCCCTCTGAGGAGGGCGGTTCTTTTCCTGAAATTCGGGAAAATCCTCCTATACCTTTAGGTCTTCTATAGCTTTTCAGTGTAGCTGACTCATTGAGATGAAAAAAAATAATGTAAATAAAGTTATACATCCTTACTTCTAATGTATATTCCTCGTGGTTTTTACCCCTTCTGTCCTGTAGGTGGAGCAGTTGTTCCGTCTGGGGCTCAGGTCCAGGGGAGACTGTGAGGCTCTGCTGCAGAGCTGTCAGTGGAACCTGGAGCGAGCCAGTAGTCTCATGCTGGACACTTACGGGCCTCACAACAAGTAACTCACACCATAGGTTTTTCTTTTTTAAATTTTGCACAGGACAATAATTGCCACAACACGGTGGTGGATGTAATAAATGCATGACTCTACATGCATTTTGAATGTGCATATGTACAAACATGCTCTCATTTTTGTTGGGGATCGACCAAATTAAACGTTATGATGATTAACACTCTTGACTATAATTGGCCTGACACTAGTGAAAGGCAAATGGAACCGTTGTCCACTGTAATTCGTAATCTCCAATGTGATTCTAAGAGTTTTGCAACTTTCAACTGGACATCGATGAACCTTTTATTCAACCACTGAAAAGGAAACCAATAATAACGTTTTTACTATCAATGCCGTTCCTGTGTTCTTACAGACAGTTACTGTTTCGAATTGGCCTTAATCTGTTGAACATTTTCAACATCTTTTGTGAAAGCAAAAGCGTAGAGTACAACCAAAACCAAAGCAAAACCTTGTAACCCAGAAATACATTTATACATTTGTATTTATAAATGTACCCTTTAATGGTTTCTTCAACCAGTGGTGGTTCACTTTTTGAGTCATCCACTTGAAGGTTAGAACTGAAATCTACCTTTTTGGAGCATCTCACTTTTTAGGCACTTTTACCATCAAACTGCATCTCAACCATTTGGTAAAGGTATATGCTTAAAAAACTAGGGGTTAAAAAAAAGCAAAAAAACAACAACATAGAAACAAATTATTTGTGTTATTAGTGTCCTACATCTTAGAAAATCCAAAACAGAAAAAAATTCATTGCTTTCTTCAAGGAGTGAACATTAAAGGGTAAAAACTGCACAAGTAAAATTTAAACTTCATCTTTAAATGGAAAGAAAAGTTGCGAGAAATTATTTACAGCCCTAATTCACATCCTTTTTATATCTTAGAATGACCACTGTGTAATGTTTTTCCCTGTGTTTTGTTTCCAGGCCGTAAGAGTCACCTTTGATTGAAGAATGTCTCAAACTTGCTCAAATCCAATGGAATGAACTGAACCTATTTATTTCTATTGTCACATGTTTAGCTGCTGCTGCTGTTGAAGTAGGTGTAACTTTACTTGAGCTTCGATAATGCAATCATATTCAGGCCATGGACAAAAACTAAGGGCACCACGGTGGAATCAGGGACATTTCACAAAGAGAATGATGTGTTTGAACTCCAGCTTTTGTGACAATATTGTTTTGGGGACTTTTGTTAAGACTGCTGGACAAGTCTATCACTGAACATACAGTATGTTTTACTATGTCCTGAGAAGGTTTATTGGTATCTTATCTATTGATAACATGCTCTTTAATATGCCAAAAGATGTGCAATAATTCCCTTCTTATACTTACAGGGTGTTTCAAGCTGTAAAAAAGACGCGTTTATTATTGTTGTAGGTCAAATGCTTGTGTTTAATGTTATCTGAGGGAAAGCAGAGAGTGAATGGGTTTGCTCTTGGCTGGTTGGAAGATGGTTTAATTGACTATAAATAATAACGGCTTATTAACTGAGCAAGCAAGGTTAATAAATGTTTCATTATATGACTCTCGTCTGTGTCTTTACCAATGCTTTTGAGATATTTGTGAAGTATGTTCATGTCCGGCTTGGTTTTGTGTGATACGGGCTGTGGACCGATTGTCAAGGTAACGGTCTGTGGAAAGATATCAAATGTGATACGCGCTGTTCAGACCAATTGTCATGGTAACGGTCCGAGATGGGAAAAGATCAGACCGCAAATCAGAGCGCGCGTACGGTCCAAGTCATATAATAATTCTTCATATTTACCCCAAATCTATCATTTTGCAATTACAGTACTGTTATAAAAACGCTGATAGTAAAATTAACATTATTTTCATGTTTCTGATGATAATGTGATAATATATTTATTTCCCTGTGCTGATTTATTGCAGTCAACAATGGGAAATACATCTTCAGCATGTGTCAAACTATGAGAACAAACTTTTTAACATCATATTCCAGAGATATTTATGGAGAATTCTATGACTGTTTTCAATGTGGCTCAAAAGAGAGCCCTTGTACTCAAAGAATATAATCAAACCCTAGCTTTTGCAGTGCCATACGTGCCCTTATGTCACTTATGAGTAAAACTGGATCTTTTAAGTTTCTGAAATGTCTTCTATGCACTTGTGTGAGCGGAGGTCTGTACTTGAATACCATGGTGTTATTGTTGCCGTTTGTCATGGTCGGCATAGCAGTGAAATGTTTTATATGCAGGCTTTACTGGAAATATTTTATGTTTTTATTATTATTATTAAGTTTTTGGAGAAACTGTATGTATGCTACTGATAGTATGTGAAAACAATGCCAAAATAAAAAAATGTAAATTGCTCTTTTCTCGTTTTTCTTTTAGAATGATTCATGTAATATGTTTGTTGAGTCTAAAGCGGTTGTTAGTTGGTACATTTAGAAAACTTGCTACCATGTATTAATTTGTTATAAAGATTTAAGTGAGTGTATTGTTGGTGATGATCCAGGACACTCAACATTCAACAACATTTATGGATATTTATCAACATTTGTGGACATTGGTTTTTGCCCCAATGGCTCTGTGTTTTTATTTTTCCATTTCCTGTGTTTGAACCATTTGATTCTCTGATCTGTGTTGGCGAATTGACTACTTTGTATTGTAGTTATTGAAGAAGATGACATGTCTGGGATCGCGTCTTTCATTCAGACAGAAGACATGTTTTATTGTCAATGGTAGAGACAGCACGAACAACACAAACACAGAATGCAAGTGTATTATACAGAGACAAAACAAGGGAAAAGTACAGGCTTCTGCACATTGATAGAATGATGAGTTTAACTTTAACTAAAGTTGCTTAAAAGTGTTATGAAATCTCACATTATCTTGGAGGACAATGTGTTATCGCCGGCCCCTTCCACCACCATCAACCATTTACACATACACACCAGACTCATTCTATGCAATGTGGGTGAAGTGTCTTACCTAAGAACACAACAACGTTTCAAAGGTCTCCCATCATCACAGTACTAACCATGCCCTGCTCTGCTTGACTTCAAGGGTCTGATGGGATCTGGCTTCCACATATGCAGATGGTGCCAACTTTTCCATCACCAGAAGTAGAATATTCCTGGTAATAGGAAAGCTGCAAAATAGTCAATACTAACCCTGGATTTGACTGTTTCCTTTAGAGGTTGTTTCCACCATCAGGCCTAGTCAGATTTTTTTTCAGCTTTAAGCTACAATTTAAATACAATAGAAAATATTAAAGGGAAATATTAATTCAATCTATTAAGAAAGAGCAAAGAAAACTCTTGGAAGATCTGCTTGGAACTTCATGGACTACTGTTTAGTCTGTGTTTTACTACTTTTGCTTTTTAAAATATCTTATTCTGAAATAAAGATGAATGAATTATGTTCATAGTGACAAGCAGGTGGTAAACCCTCACAACAGAAACGCCTTTAAATCAGTAATGTTAGGTTGCGGTGGTATTTTTCCCCACACTGAGGAGTCGTCGGATGGAACATTATGGCTTTTGTGGTTTAACTTTGTCTAATTGTCAGAGCAGATCAAACGGCCTCTTGTCGGCTCCTGCAGATGACATCACAGGCCGTTCGGTTTGCTCCGGGGGTCTTTTTGTGCGCCGTTTGGCCCCGGTTCAGCCCTGTCCCCAAGTGAATCTGGGAAAAGGCTCCGCGCTCCACATCAAAGACGAGGTTTCTTTCTTTTTGCGTCCTTTGTGTCGGTGTCAGTACATCACAGAGAAGCTATAGAGGTGCTTACTGTTCAGCTGCTGCGAGAGGGGGGCTGCAGGAGGTGGGATAGGTGCATGGAGGAGGAGGATCCACAAACAGGACCAAACACACACTCTGACCACTACATGCTTGCTTTGTTTTAGCAATAAGACAAGCAATATAAGAAAACATGTTTATATTCTCCATACTTATAAGAAAGAGCCCTGTGAGTCATTGCTTGATACTGTGGGCTGAGAACTGATGACGCTGGTCCTCAACTGTTCACTTTTCTGTCTGAAAATGTAATCTATTTTTATTATGGACTTTTATTTATGGACTTACTATTGAAAAATATGTTTTTGGGAAGGTTTTTGTGTGGTTTGAAAGCTAAGATGGCACTTCAGCTTTACCACACAAGTACAACTAAACTTACTTCTTAAGAGCCATTGGTTCATGTTTTTGAAAAAAAATCTAAAAAACAAAATCAATACAATACAATTTATTCTTGTATAGCCCTAAATAACAAAAGTCATCTCAGAGGACTTAACAAAACCATTGAAATCACCAACACAGATCGGCGAATCAACAGTTAAAACACAGAAAGAATAAAGAACACATGTTAAAAAATGTCCATACATGTTGTAGAATCACACTTATAGTGACATTCTGCAGCAACATATCAAGACAATTAATTAATCAAATTCCTATTGTTGATAAAGCATTGACTTTTCAAGGACATTTTCGGTAATTCATGAAAACATGTGGTTGGTGAGGCCTTGAGTCAACAAACTCCTAGCAGTCGTGGTTATTAGTGCCAACAAACTGTCGAAAGGACCGCGTCCTTAGGCAAGACACCCATATTGCCTAGAAAGAGTCTGGTGTGAATGGTTGGTGGTGGTCAGAGGAGCCAATGGCATGGACTGGGTGCCTCAGGGTAGCTGTGGCAACAGTAGTAGTTTATCACCACCGTGTATGGAGTGAATGAATGTGAAGCGTCTTTCAGTGTCATAAAAAGTGCTATATAGAACCAATCCACTATTACTATTTATTACTATCATTATTATTAGTAATAGTTGTTGTAGTATTAGAGGTTGTAGCAGTAATGGTAGAAGTAGTAGTGGTAGTAATAGTTTGATTTAATCTATGCTCAATATCTCCCTCTAATGGAAATATTGGGTTATTACATTTATCCACAACTATGACTTGTATTTTGGTTTAATCATTAATAGTAGCAGCAGCAGTAGTTTACTACTAGTAGTAGTAGTAGTAATAGTAGTAGTAGCAGTAGCAGTGGTAGTAGTACATTTACATTAATGTGTTTTACTGGGAACCATTTTTTATTTGTGAGTAATATATTTCTAAAAAACCTCAAAACGACCTTGGAATCAAGCACCTCCCCTAATGTCCATGGGTTGGTGTGTGTGTGTGTTTGTGTGTGTTTCCCTTGGAGACAGTAAAGTTCTTAGCTTACCCCCAAATGCTCACTATTCTCTTCCCACACTGGTCACAGATTTAAGTGCTGCAGTCTCATGCTCTGTGCTGTTTGGAGCTCTTTGAATCCCTGACCAGTGCAGACGCTGACCTGAGGCTCCACTGACGTCTCTGTCCCCAAGTGGTCGTTACCTGCAGCGTGACCCGGGTCAAAACACACGGCTCCAAGATGTGTTTCCAACATCTGGATCTTAAAGAGGCCAAAAGGGAACGGCTGCAGAGCTGGAGGCTGGTCACATATATCTGATACAGTCAAAGGAATCTGCTGTGGATACGGGAGTCCAGGGACACACCTACACAAGTGCACATGTGGGACCAGTATTTTCATATGAGTGAGAGCATAACGCTTTTAAGTAATTGCACAATAGCTATATACTGTACTCAAATAAGAAGGTAGTGCATTTCTTACCATATAATTTAAGGTAAAGATTAAGAGATCCTTTATTCGTCCCACAGTGGGGAAATTTTAGTGTTGCATCACAAGTCATAGAACACTAGGAATGAGAATGACCCAGCACAAGATAAGTGAACAATAGCTATACTAATTCAAATAAAACAAAAGCTCTAACTCTAGCATCAAAGAACAAGCATAAAAATATACAATATGGGTAAGCAGTTTTGTGTAGATCTCACTGGTGACCTTTTTCAACAGACGAGCAGGGGCAACCAAAGTTTAAGGCCAATCAGACTTAAGGCGGTTGTTGTTTATACGTTGCTTTGCTAATTTCTGTCATATTTCTAATGCAGGGGTTCACAACGTGCTTCATTTTTATGTTGACCGAGGCTGGAGTCTCTGGTTTAGGGTTTTAGATAAAATGTAAACATACAAATTTTTTGAGCTATTGTAAAATAACTATAAAGTTAACTCCCAGAACATTTGACAGCTTTTCGTTTTGGAAGTGTAATTACTTTTGTACATTATGGTCTTCTTAGCTTTGTGACTTTTTCTAATTTGTAGTTTAGTTCTATGATAATTTTTTTCTGAGTCGTTTGTCCCTGAATGTACAAATATAGCCATTTTTGGTTGCTTGTCAACCAACATTCTGTGGCAATTAAACCAAATGTTTTCAAGATGCTGGTTCTGGTCTGGTCATGGACTAGTTTAGAGCTATCTCAGTTTGGAGTAAGTGAATGATACCCTTTAGCAAAACACTGTTACTTGACAGCAGTCCGCATTTAGTAGCCTGTAAAGTTAATCAAACTGTTTTTTTTCTGTATTTCAGGTATATTTACCAGTTTTAGTATGGATTAAGAATTTTCAAAAAATGCGTCAAAATGACTACTCTGGGGCTTCAGAATAATGTGAGTTCTAGTTTTAAACAATTAAGTTATGGTAAATGATAAATTAGACATGCCCAGTTTTCCCTGATTGGTTATTTTGTCTTTTGTCAGCTCCGTCTCCCCTGACAGTAGTGCTCTGGAACAAGACATCTACTTGAGTTGTTGGAAAAATCAATAATGCGATCTGCCCATCGCCTTCCTCTCATCAAACACAGGGGTAAATATTTGATGCAGAGACGTCCGGAACACGCTTTTGTGCTTTCTGCAAATGGGGAGCACGCGTCTCAGCAGCTCCAAAACAAGACGTTTCAATCTCTGCAAATAAGACATACTGCACAGTCTGTCATCTGAAAATCTATCACAGGCACAGTGTTGACGGAGGACTGGGAATGGCCAATATTATATTATTAGGGATTGGATTAGTGGGACACAGGCTCTGGCTTGTTTTGACAATGTGAAGTCTGTCAAATTAACCAAGTAAAGGAAATGAGCCAATTAAATCCGAGTCGAGGCATGCATGCATCTGCAACAGGAGGATGGAGACAACGTGGGAACCCAGTCCAAATGCTCCGTCAGGCCCTATTAATGTGCAAGCGGTTTCTGAAAACAGAGTTCTACATTTTCTTTTTTTAATTTCCAATTTGACATTGAATATTATCTACTTGGATGAATTAAAGCTAGTTAAAAAAAACAAGCATTTGCAAAATATAGGCTTACGATTTGCTTTTACCAAATTTGTATTAATATATTTATTTTTGTTAATTTCGAAAATCCAGCTATATTTTAATGCAATAGAAATACAGTTTATCCAATTCTTGAGAAAAATTGGGCAAAGTTACTGCCAAAACAGTGCAACTCTCCGCGTATGTAATGTGCAAATGGTGTATAAATAAAAAATGCCTACATGTGAGAACTTAAAGCTCTTAAAACAGTTCTATCATTAGTGGTATGAAAGGCCCCTCAGCTTTAATTTGATAATAAATATCCCCTAAAATGTTTTCCTTATTAGATGCCAGGATAATGGATGTGTCTTTATGTCATAATTATTTAAAATATTCCATTTCACTTTTACTGTTTGAGCCCTGTATTTCATTCTTAGGATTTCTCTTGGCACTTCTCTACTTCCATCACTAGGTGGAGCTCCAAGCCAGTGCCAGCTGCTTGTGACCAGTCTGTTTGCCAAAAAGCTGCTCTCAAACGCGCAGGTGAACTTTACAGAAAACAGTTTGCTCTCATCCAACATAACTATAGTTGAATTAAACACAGGGACAAATTATTCTGAGCACAGACATCTTTGAAAAAATAGATAGTTTGTTAAAATGAGCCATTTCTTCCACAGAACGTTCCTTTGGGTCCTGTATGATTAGTGGCAAACTTTGAAAGTCCTTTTGATGAGCACGAAATAGATGCTTTGCTTTTGTCTCTGCCTGTCAGTTCTGATGTGACATGTATGCAGCTGATTTACACTCCAAAACCACGATTTATTTTGCCTTTTTCTTCCTCTGAGCTGCTACAATGCAACTTTTTCAGCCCAGTAAACAAAAGCATTTCTACCCTGGGGTACAGTGTGTCATCTAAAGCCAGCGGGTTAATTGGCACTATACAGCTGTAACATTTGTAGCTAGGAAAAGAAGTTTTAAAGGAAGAAAAATGGCTTGATTAGAGGCTTAAGATGTGCGGCTATGTGTACAGACCACCTGGGGGGCTTTCTTTGCTATTTCAATGTCACTTATGTCAAGGCCCCGTGCACTCTGTGACACAGCTTGAGAGAAAATGGGAGATGTTTCAATTCAAACCCAAAGAAGAGGGAGAAAAACAAGCCAAATAGAAGATGCAGGGGGTTCGAGAGGAAAAAAAAAATGCTTTCACAATTGTGCTATGTCTATCAAAGAATCCCAAATGAGCGTTTAGGGGGGCTACATTGGCACATGCACAGACTACACCTTTTATTACCGTGAAGATCAAAGATGGAAGACATGAAAAGAGAGGTTGCAAGGCCCCACATTTCCAACTCATTCAACCACTCGAGATTTTTTTCCGTTCCTTTTTCCCCAAATTAAGAAAGCGGCAAAAGCATGTGAAGTAGTGCTCAAACAATACCCTGTCCCATAATGGCTACTACTACTTCTCAACAACAAGCCCAGAATGCTGTAAGACTTATCAAATATTTTATTGTCAAAATAAAGGTCATATTGCTTTTTCAGTCGCAAAAGAGGACATCTACACTTTGTACAAATTTACAATAGCTTATATAAAGTTTTCTTTTGTACACAAATTTACACATTTGTACAATAATATATATAGAGAGATATAAATACATTTTTCAAAACAAACATATTACAAAATGAACCCGTAAAATACTTGGGCTTTATTAAGGCTTAATTTAAACCATCTTTGATTGAATAAGCAATGTTATCCGGCACTGTGAAACAAGCAGTGGTTCTCAATTGGTGAGTTAAATATAAAAAATAAAATTAAAAAAAGTTTACAATAGTTATAGCTTGTTTGAACAATGCATTTTTTTCAAGAAATGTTGGGACGGAGTTTGAAATACATGTGTTATCGAGTTTAAAATAATTTAGAAATATAACTTTGGTGCTGCACAGTTTGGGTCAAAACAGAGACATAAAAAGTTAAAGTTCATTTGTACCATTTGAGAACCACTGTAAGTAGATAAAGAAATGCTATAAGGAGACAGATCTCTGCCCACAATAGAATAAGTAATGCCCAGTTGGAGAAAGCCTGGTGTTGGGTCACTGTAATACATATAAACAGCGGTTTTAACCTGTGCTAATCCCAGGGACATTGTTCAGACCAGTTCTCCCTGTGGAGGCGAGTTGTTTTGGGGGGAGGAGAACACCGGGGCAGCACCTCACCTCCACCATAGCTCATTCCTATGTAAATTCAAAGTAACAGGAGCACTGATGGTTTATCTCCCCAATAATTAGCAGTTCCCATAAGTCCCCATTGTCTTCCACTCCTGCCAACTATTCAAACTTGGGACAATGGCATCTGCTTGGGGCAGGACACAGAGCTGGCTGTTCCGGACCGCCACGTTAGTCCTGTGCTCACGTCACTGTACATGGAGCCACTGGTGCCTTTGCTCCCCCAGCAGCAGCGGGTGCAGAAAGTCCTCCAGGTATCCACAGTTTTGCCGGACCAAATCCAAACCCCGGAGGTGATGCCCACAAGCAGGCACATAAAGTATTTGAGCATAAAAACAGCATAGTCCGGGCTCCTTCTGTCTCTTTCTAGCAAGCAGTCCCCACAAGTGTGAGTTATCTCCCAACTTTGTCTGTTGTGTTGTTCGTAAAAGTAACACGCCACTATAATAGTCGCGGGCACTGTGTACAAGACAGTGAAGATACCTATTCTTATCATAAGCTTCTCCAACTTGTCAGTCTTAGTGCCTCCTTGCTTGATGACACTTCTTATTCTGAAAAGTGAGACAAATCCAGCCAGAAGGAACATGGTGCCGATGAATAAATATATCACCAAAGGAGCAAGAACAAACCCTCTTAAATTGTCCAAGTTTTGGTTTCCCACGTAGCATATCCCAGCCACAGAGTCCCCATCAACAGAACTAAGCGCTAAGACAGCTATGGATTTCATGCTGGGGATAAGCCACGCTGCCAGGTGAAAATACTGAGAATAACTCGCTATGGCTTCGTTTCCCCACTTCATTCCTGCCGCAAGGAACCAGGTCAGCGATAGGATGACCCACCAAATGGAGCTGGCCATGCCGAAGAAGTAGATCAGCAGGAAAACCACGGTGCACAGTGCGGGTCCAGTCGTCTCGTAGTGAATGTGCTCAATGTCATATTCCCTGTTGCACGCCACTTTCTCATGCCCAGCGACAAGGCGCACGATGTAGCCCACAGACACGAACATGTAGCACACGGAGAGGAAGATGATCGGTCTCTCCGGATACTTGAAGCGTTCCATGTCTATGAGGAAAGTGGCCACAGTGGCGAAGGTCGAGATGAAGCACAACACGGACCACAAGCCGATCCAAAACGCCGTAAACGCTCTCTCGTCAGGCGTAAAGAAGGGGTTATGGCACGGCATGGCACAGTTGTTGATATGGCCCGTCTTCACTCGGTTGTAGAGCGGGTGTCTGTCTGTGCTCACCGGCACCATGGGCCCCTGACACTTGCACCCGGACTCGCAGGGGGCAGAAGGCGGCTTGTACTTCACAGGCGCTCCCGGTCTCCCTGGCTTGTGCTTGTTCCCCGGCTGGTTGTTGTAGGCGCCTTTGTTGTTATTGCCGGGGTTGTTGGTGGGCTTAGACAGAACGGGAGAGACAGTAGTGGAGTCCGTTCTGTTATAGTCCATGCACAACGTGTCTGGGTTGCCCTGCACTGGTAGCTGGTCGCACTTCATCCTATCCGGCCAGGGGAAGCCATACTGACGCATGAGAGGCGCGCACCCAGCCTTGGCTCGCTCGCACACGCTCCGGCACGGCGGTAGTGGCTTTTTATAGTCCTCCAGACAGATCGGTGTGTACATGCTGCACAGGAAAAACTTCAGGTCCGGAGAGCACTGGATCTCGACGAGAGGCCAGAACTGGTGCACCTCCAAGCCAGCCTCGTCCTGCGTGTCGTGGTTGAACTGGTTGGGCATGTAGGTGTAGTTGTAGCCGATGCCTTTGCACAGGGGCACCGCTATCTCCTGGCATTGCAGCTCCTTGGCCGCCGTGGAGCTGGTGCGCGGGAGCAGAGCGAGGCATAGGAGCAGGTAAATCCCCCAAAAGTCCATCTTTGCCCGAGCGTCGCGTCTCTAGCCTCCTCCGCTCCTCCGCAGCTGGTCCTCGGATGGATCCACCTTCTTCTTGGGGAAATCTTCTCGTATATCCTTAATGCAAGCGCGCGGTGGAGGTCTGACCGCGGTGCATTACCAAAACAAAAAAAATGTGGCTCTTCTTCGCTTGTGCACGCGTTCCTCCTTATTCCTTATCGAGCTCTACACAAATCACAATCTGAGCCTCGGAGCAATATGGTTTTATATGGCTGCAGCTGACGTCTCGCCCCCCAGTCCATCAAAGCCAATCAGAGCGCGCAGAGGCGGGGTCTGCTGCCGTCAATCAACACTATCCCCCCTTCCAAGACTGAGACGTTTTGTTAGAATGGCAGTAATAAGACGAGTTGAGCTTCCGAAAAATGTTAATTAGAAAATAATACACATTTACATCCAAAGGGCGTTTGTTTTCACATGTGTCGACTAATGACGCCTAGGGGTGGCACATTGTTATAACACTGTGGTCATTAGTCACTTAATTATCTAAAATTTGTATTGCATTAGATTCAAATGTTGCAATATTTACGCGCGTAAAAATGTTTGGCACCCATATACCAGAATTAGAAACAGGGTATTGCATTTGCCTTTCATTTTGCTATTATGGTCAGTGCAACGTATTCAAACTATCCATTCACAAACGTGAACAAATATAGTTCAAGTTTCAATGCATTATGCCACTATACTATGCATAAGTCTTAAAAAGCTTTGATCACAGCATTTCTTAAAATATGATGACAAATTTATTTGGCAGAATGTCTTAATTTTAGTGAGACCGTCTTTCAACAAATTTGCCAATAGAAAAAGCTATTTTGCATTATATTAAGGTCGAGGTTAAGTTGCATTTGTACAATTGCAGTAAGTTATCTATCTTTTTTGAGCCTGTGCAAACTGTTTGGGTCTAATATTTTGCTCTCACGTATCGCAGTCTAGTTTTGGCACACTGTGAACACTTGATAAATGTTTTTTGCAGCCCTTGTCCACCAGTTGCTCTCACGTCTCGCTCTGGAGCTCAGGGGAGAGACTCAGTGGATTTTGGGAGGGGGTCATGTTTGTTAAATCGGCTAATTTGCAAATGATAAGGCGACCCGGGGAGCTGTCTGTCCGCGCTGAAAAAAGCTGTTTTATATTTGAAATGAGGTGCTAATGTTTCGTTTAACGCTTGCATTGGAGCGCGGCGGGAGGCGTAATTGCGCAGAGGCGGAGAGCAAGCAGCACAAGCCAAAGCGCAGCGCGAGCAAACAGACCAGTCCGATGAACTCAGTGGGTTAGTGCACTGGAGATGGGGCTGCAATCTCAGAGTGTTAAATGGATTTCGTTTGGCAAACTCAGACTATACCATAGCCTTATCTCCATGATCCTATATGCATTATATAAGCTACTTTGGATGTCTCTGTGGACACACCAGTGTATGCAAATGCCATAATTGTAAGACATTATTATTCATTCATTCAAATCCATTTTATTTGAACGTTTTAAAAACATTAGGGTTTTCACAGTGCCGCAGCCACAGCACAAATAAGACAAAAACAAATACCAGAATAATTACAATTATTTCAATGAATAATGGCCTAACTCTCTCCCTGCATCAATATTACACTTTAGATTTTTGTAAGATGTTTTGGACTAAGAGTTGATGGTTGAGTATTTCCAAAATACATGATGGAACAACTAGTGATAGAACCAAACATTATTCCCCTTTTGAAATGTAGGTACCCCAGCTTTAAACTATGCTTTACACTATGCTCTGACTTTTTGATTCAGCTTTAAGAATGTAACTTGTTTTGTTAGCAGTTAAGAGTCACAAACTTGATCACATAAATAAAACAAATGTGAATAGAGTTATTTATTTGACATGGAAAGAACAGTTACATTGGACAGACCCAGATGCACTGCCTTTAGTGATATAGCAAGACTTTTCAAATATAGCAATTTTCAAATTGCTTTTGGCGGTTATTTTCCATTATCTGGCACATCTATCATGAGTGCGAATGTTCTATTGTAATTGTTCAGTATGTATTAAAATGCCTCCAACAAAATGCAAATCAGATACAGTCACTATACTGTACTGCAGGTTGTATAATCCCACATTGCCAACAGAACTTGGGAGACTTAAAAAACGTTGTTCAAATATAATTGGTACTTGAGTTACACACTTGAACAAAGCGCAGAGTCAAAATGCACATGAAATCCTTCAGCCGGAGTTGTTCATGCAACATACTTCATCTTCATTCCTGTCTGACACATGGATATTGTTCGCATGGTCTTAAACACTTACAGCTAAAATTGGACTGGCGCCTCAAACGGCAGACATTGTTTTTTGAAAACCCAAACAGCAGAAATATAGTTTGTGAAGTTTAGAAAAATCCTTATACAGTATATTTTGGATATACAGGAGGTGATAGAAGTTGGCATGAACATAATCAAAACTCCCCAATTATCATTTGAAACTCAACCAGTTGAATAAAGTCAATACGATTCCACACAATAGAAGGAGAAATGGCCGTTGGTTTGATTGTAACTGAGACTATAAAGTGAAAAGCAAATGATGAAAGGGTTTTGATGCCATCAGGTGTCATGTCATTTCAATAGGTTGGTTTTGAAGTTGTTTGAAGTATAAACCATCGTCACAGGTCTACACTCAGAACCAATGCCATATAATAGGGAGGGGTAACTGAAAGTGGCATGCATCTTGGTCGAGGCAAACTTAATACTGAGCAAGTGTGAGTGACAGCATGCAAGAATAACAGGTGTGCTCAAAAGTGCACATTATTCTGGGGCTGCACAATGAATCACAATCAAATGGCAATCTTTGTGGTCACAAGTAGCAAATCACAAATACTGCAGTTATTTCAGATTTTTGCAAACAAAACATTTACTATATTCAGAACAAAATCACTTGAAAAAATAATGTTTTAATAATTTTGCACTGGGACAAGCAAGTATCTCTTGTGATGAGAAGCATCTTTATAATAACATAATAATTTATACATAATGTCAAAATGGGTCCTAATAATGTCAAAAACTCAGGCTGACTATAAGAATTTAGAGAGGAAGATAAAAAACCTTTATGCAAATATTTAGATTTTTTCAGGGAATCTTTTACATGAATTAGAAAGAGGTTGTTGTATTGAACTTTTTATACATTTTCTGAAATACGTCGGAACTGTGTATAAGTTAATACGCTTTTTTCAAACGGAAATCTTTTGAAGTTTTTTACTTTTACTCACAAAAAAAATGCATTTGGATATTTTGTAGAAATCTTGCAATCCTACTAAATTCCTTATCACATAGAAATCCTGTATTTACACTTGTAGTTGTGTTGTTTTGCTTATAAAATGCATTGTAGTCTCTCCATTGACTGACTTGTATCTGCCCTTTGTATCTAAAAGCACACATTTTTATCCTTCCTTCAATCAAACTCAATTTGTCAGGGCGCAGCAGTCACCACATAGGCCCATTCATCTGATAATGTTTATTACTTCCACACTGGAACATGACCGCTACATCTACTCAACATGTTAAAATGACATTTGCTTTAACTACTGTGAACTGTCAAAAGGTGTGCGCAAATATTTGACCAGCATACTGGCCCTGTGGTTAAGTGACGTGAATAGACAATAAAACTGTCCAATCCTCACATACCTCCTCACATCTGAGCATAATGCCACATTGTACTACGAGGGATGAACTGCTATTTTACTTGGACATAAGCCAGGAAGTATATCATTGGTGTTGGCTATTTATTAAAAGTCCCAAGCTTGCGTTCTTGTCCAAGTACGAGCCAAAGTCCAGATTGATTAAGTGACTGAGCCGAAGCGAGATAACATGGGAGGAGGCTGGCTAATGGCTGTTTGCTTTTGATTAAGGAAACAAGCTGTGGATAGAGAGACAGGGCTCTGGAGGTATGCATGTCTGGAAGAGGGAATACTTGTGCACACACAGACCACAGTGCGATATTCTACCCAATAATAAATCATGGTTTTTGAGACGTGTGAAAAGACACCAACAAATGGAGCAGGGAGCAGCCACTGAGTTGTAAGGGGGAAGGACCGAGGCAAGAAGAAGAGATATTTGTTATTTTAGTGGTTCCCTCTATCAATAGTGGGGCCTGAAACTTTACATCTTTGCCACTTCCTGGAACAAACTTCTTCAACACACCAGGAACTCGGACACACTTCAGAAATTCCTATAAAAAATGATAGGACTTAGGTATATGATGCTTTCAAAGGCGTCTTGTAACTTTGCCTTATCACTACATTTGTTATAATGTATTCTGTATACGCAAGTGTAATCGGCAAATGTAATCAGGCAGCATTTTGTTTATTTTGGGAATTTTGCTTATTTTCACACATGCACACCTGCTGCAGCACATATTGTTTCAGTTTGCGTACAGGGACTGCGTGCGTCATTGAAATAATCAAAATAAGTGAGGAGACTAACCAAAGAAAAAATGGTTCCAGCAAAACAAACGGGATTTTCACACAATCGGTTGACCTGGGCTTACATGGATCTTGCCTGATCAAATTAAATTGAGCTAGGTGAGTTATCCGTTTTTTGTTTGTGCTTTTCAAACATCGAGAGAAGTTCAACAAGTTCAGATGTTCAACAGTCATTCCACTGATGCCATAAGAGCTCAATATATTCATGACAACCAACACATCTCCACAAAATCACTCTTGTTGCTTTCAACAAACCCCAGTTCATTAGTGAAGTCTTAAACCTATTCTGTCCGTCAAAATGAAGTGGTCCTATTTTCTTGACTTGATCTTCTGGTTAGCATGGAGATGGGAGATATGCTAATACCATTTCATCTCGTCGGGGAAAAAGCTTGGAGGAGTTTTAAGCCAATCTGTGGGACACAATTGTGAGAGGCGCAGTGCATTTAGTGCGGGCGGCTAACCCCGGGCGCCTTGTTAAGACTCCATTACCCATGTTTACTCAAGCCTCTTCTGTCCAAAGAGCCGGAGGAGGAGGGCACCCCGGGCTGTGCCGCTGCCCCACTATAGTCACTCCATATGGGGCTTGTTTGCTCACGGCTGGCCCTCTAATCACTCCCAGGTGGAGCTGAGGAGATGGGGCAACGGACAGTCTGTCTGCGGGGGTGAAGGCTGCAGAGTTGTGCAGGACTGTGCTTCTCAATACAAGTTAAATATAGGATGTTATGACATGAGAGTAATTATAATACATTTGAAAAAAAGTTATTGCTCAACTATTGAGATTTTTAAACATATTACTGATTTTTTTTTAAAAATGGGAAGCACACATTGGACAATATTACAGTCCATGGGCTAATGATTGTCCCTATTGGTATAATGTGGAACTTGGATTGGTATCAGCGTGGTATCTAGTGCTATACCTGACACTGAATGTTGAGAATAGACTAAACAGACCATGGTGATGTGTTTGTGTTTTTGCAAAAGTAATTGTGTACATAGGGAAGGCATTGCTATGCTTTCTTGCTGTGGCCTACTCCGTCTGAGCTATTTCTTATTTTTGTTTGACTGTAAATATGGATTGAAATCACATGGAGTTGCAAAGTTGACACAAGATATAATCTTCAAGGGATCAGGTCTATAAGGTCACAATGACCTCAGCCATACTAATGTTGTTTGGACTAGTTAATATCTCTGGGTTGGCGTCTCTGTTATGACCCACATTGTCATGTTAGATTGGTCCATCATTTAGTTCTCATGTGGAATCTGACCAGCTTGCTTTGACTTTGCTAGGACAAACATGAAAAATGTTCAAGGAATATTATTCAATGAATTTAAGGCCATGCAGACCTTGCTTGTACTTGGATTGTCTGTACTCAGTATTAATAACTCAAGGATGGTCTGGCGTCTCTGTTCTGAATAACTGTAAGATTGCAATAAAACTTCCAGGCCTTGTGCTCTGTGGTTTTCAATGTTGACCAGGTCTCATTGTGTTGGGTTATATAGTGTGGTTTTCAAATATATATGTTCATAAAAGCAACAAGTGCCATAACCTTTAACCCTTTTTTTTCAGATTTTCTATCTTGTCAAAGTAGAGACGTCATTGTTCTGCTCAGAAGTTGCAAACAGTGCATCTCTCTCTTCCAGTGTATCTTTAGAATGTGCTGTATCTGGATAATAATAATAATAATAAAGTATCTGAACTTTAAAAAGTTATAACTCAATAACTAAAATGACAATCATGGATTAGAAAAAATTTCAAACAACAACATATCAAAGACAAAAGAGTGAGCCACAGCTCAACAACAAAACCCTCTTCAGACAACTCAAACACACATGTATATTGGTTATAATGGTGAATGATTAGTGCGCTGATAACCACTCATTTGTGGAGTTTCCCTAGTGCAGGTGCCGCCCCTTCAGCCTGAGCCCTGGACCTGGAGGTGGCAGAGAGCAAAAAGCATGTTTCTCACCTCAGGCCCATTACCTCCACAAACAGTGCCGGCCCCACTAATCAACCTACTGCTGAGAGAAACAGGCAGCTGCCCCCGCCTCCCAGAGAGCGGCTTACACCAGCGTCCCCCTCTCTGTCCCGGGTTTGTACATGCAAATAGGCCTGAGGAGCTTGGATAATTAAGTTTAGGGCAAGTTTAACAATGACTGTGGGACAATAGAAGGCTGAAGTTACATTATTTGAAATATATTGAGGATGATGTGAAGGTTTAATTACGTCTTTCTGTTAATGCTCTCACACAATTAGCTTATCACTATAGTGTATTTGAATTTGTAGCTATTTCCTAAGATGCTATCATGAGCTGCAGCCACTGATTACCAACCTGTAGCTCAGGAGCTGCCAGTAGATCTCCAATCCTTTTCAAGTAGAATTCAAGTGGATATTTTATGCGTATTAATTCAATGCAGATTACAATAAATGTCTACCATTAATGTAAACTTGGTAAATTCGGTACAATTCAATTCAATTCATTCTTTATTAAGAACACAGATAGAACTGGTTCATAGATTTAAAACAAAAACACATGGTATAAGATAAGATAAGAGATCCTTTTGTATAACACTGAATGAAAAATGATTCAAGGCTGAGTTTCCTAACTTTCACCCTCATAAAAAATTTATGTAGTTTGTCCCAACAAAAACAGTTTTGTTAAAGCAAAAAAAATCAGATCACAAAAATCTGCCTGATTGTGTTAGATAGCATGTAATATTTTGATTTATGTAAGAAAGAACCCTGTGAGTCAATCTTTGGCACTTTTGGCTGAGACTTGAGTTGCTCTCATTTATGTCGCTGAAAACTAGTGACGGAACAAAATTATTATAGAGTTTATTTAGATGGATCTTATTAGATTCATTTTGTTGTGGTTTAAAGTTAGGTACCTCACTTTTAAGTTTACCACACAAATATATAGTGTAAATGTTATATACACTATATAGTTCTAACACTTTTCCCTGGCCAGTATCCACAAGGCAGTGATTTTCCCCTTCATGTTTTGGTTATCTGAAGGTTGACTATTGGTGCGATGGGAGACTCTGAAAGGTGCGTCTATTTGTCTTATATAAAGCCATTTTAACATCAATAAAACATGTCTTCTGCTGCTTTGACACGATCTCAGACCTCTGCATCGTTTGTAATTTTCCTCAATACTCACTGTCACGTCCCATAAAACTATGCATTTTAGATTGAGTACAGAAACTACACTTAGTCCGACCATATGAATGCGGCACATTTGGAAGAGAGGGATAACAGAAAATGCATCTATTGTTTTCTTCTGTTAGTATCGTTGCGAAGTCAGGTTTTTTCATAATTTTTCATAATTTTCCAATGTGGTTTTACTGCAAATGGCAAATAAATGAATCTGAATCTGAAGTCTAATAATTGAGAGTAATAAACTGAAGAAGTAATCCTGTGCAAAGGAATTCAATTGAATGTGGAGTAACTAGTGATTACAGTGTTTGTTTACTTGTTTGTGTTTACCTCAGACTAATTTCCAACTATTATTAGTATATTTTTGTATTTTCTTAACATAAATCTAAACTCATCATTATAGAGTCCACCTGTCCTCTGTAAACTGACTCAGTCCTCTAGTCTTGTCACAACACGTCTTTTGTTTACAGGAGGAGGGAGGGATGTTTTTGTGGATGCCACTTGGAGCCAATCACATGTCGACAAGACATGTGTTGGGCATGCAATGTGAGGAGATCATTGCAACTCAACGTCCTTTTTTCCATTAATTGAATTGAATATCTGTGCCTTAATACCCAATCTATTCTGCAAATGACAACTTGCATGCTACCACACTTTTTGTTGACATTTTGTGTACTGCACTGACAGAGAAAGCAGGTGGTCAATAAGCACTGTTTTTACAACAACAGTTCTTCAACTACATGATAGATATTACAATTTGCCTAAATACACGGACATGAATAAAGAATATAACGGTCTTGTCATACTGCAGTGTTTTTGCTTGTGTTTTAGGCCCATGTTGGACATGCTGTGTCGGGAATACAGTGGGAAAGTTTGGCATGTTTTTTGGACACCGGGAAGACAGGAACAAGTCAAAACAAAATAACCGGTTCAGGAAAAACTTCTGAGTTTCAAAATCACAGCACAGAGCATCCAGGACCACAGGGAATTGCATCATGGCCCACGGCAAGTTTAACATACATAGCAATAGAACCAAACAAAGGAAAGAGCAGCCCCAATGGGTGGTAAGACCTTATGTAAGTTTTATAACCTTCTCCTAACCCACATGTAAGAATAGTTTGGTTTAATTGCAGCCTAAATGGCCAATGCTGTGTGAAAAAAAGACAGCTAGCTTATTGCAATATGACATCAAACATAACTATTTGCTCATACATCTAAATTGAAATGATATGCAGAGCTTTCGGCTTCTGACAAACTAATTTGAGAATGTTTGTCTGTGCATTGGTCAACTATCGCAAACCACTTTTACACTATAATTTAATCTCAATTGTGCAAGCCCAAGGAATATCACTTCATTTGCTGCAATCTCCTCTAGGCTCAAAATCCCTCGCCTGCTCTGTCTATCCCTGTCTTTGCAATCTAGATGGAGAGGCCCCACTTGTATCTCCCACAGCTAATTAAAAAACAACATTGAGGAGACTAGTGTGGTGCCTGTCTGCTCCTGGCTTCCTTCCCCGCTCCGGTCCAAGAGAAAAAAGTGAAAGCGTGTTATTCTCTGATTGTTTGGCCATCCGATGCCGCAAGAATTTGGCCAGCGCTGCACCGGCTCTGCTTTTGGCTCTGGTATGACATGCTATTTGACACTGCTGATGCATTTATCTCGTCTCTTGTAAAACAGCGTGTGACTTGTTCTACCCGGTCGCAGTGGAGGTAAGCGAGAGCCGTAGATTTGAGCTAAGGAAACACATATAATAGCAGGGTCTAGTTTTTCTCTAATTCTGAGGGTAATAGGATATGTATCGGAGGGGTGGGAGTGGGGTGACTGAGGTAGCTTTGCCATATGGTGCCAGCACATGTGAGTAGCACTTGTCTGCAGATGGGGGTCCGATGCATTTTCAAACTTTGCTGTCGCCTTGTCGAACATGGGCGCGGACATATTGCAGTTTACATGCCAAGCACACGTGTGGAGGGACAGAAGATATATTGCTATATTTGAGACGTTGCACTTGCCTCCATGTATTCCACAGTGGGATCTTTAACAAGTACAACGTAAGCCTTCCCACAATTTCAGTTAATTAATTCATTACTATTGTTAATAAATTTTAGAAATATGTATTTATTGATGTTTGTATATATGGTTGTGTTTCTATCTATCTATCTCTCTATTTCTTAAACATAACAAACAAAGAAGAAAAATAATTGATACTTGCACACTTGGGGTGATTTGGGAAATATATTTTATTTTCTTGTGAACAAAACGCATTGAAATATTTACAGCACATAAATATGCTTTCAGAAGAAGTAATACAAAAATAAAAAAGTGGTCATAAAATCATGGCAATCATGCATTATTATCAATCATGTTGTTTCCACATTTTCACAAATATCTTTGGGAAATTATTATTGGCGCAATGTCCAAATACCAGTGACTTTTTCATTCACTTTCATCATGAATGTAATCTTCAGGTCCACAGTGGCACATTTCCAGGAACCATCACTTTAGAGTTTGGATAATTGTGTTTACTTCTTGTCTCAAACTATTATGATTAGAAATCCCTTGTGAAATTATGTTGACACAGCTATAAACTGTAGCTGTGTTCTGTGATGATTTGAGAACCTGCCTTCCTACTGGCTATGAAAGGATCCAGTCTCAACAGCCTCATTCCCACTATGCCGACACACATGAGTTTTAACAAAAAACCCTGGTGCACTATTCTCACACACTGGTTGACAAATGCTGGTGGGTAAACCAAGTCGCTATTTCACACACCTTGCAATCTAGTTGTTTTGTCAAAGTCTGTTAAATGAGAACACTCAGACTTAAGAAAGCAATAAAACCAAATTTACTGTTGCTTCACTGTGGGTCAGACAAAGAAGCTTGTACTATACACAAGTCTCATGATTTTATTCTGTTTTCCCTGGGGTGATAAGGTAACTCAGGTCCAAACGACACGCCTACCTATCCCACTGTTGCCCTAGGTCAACAAACCACTTCCAACGCATCTCAGAACATTTCAACATAGGCTGCGGTGGGAAAAGTCTTGACTATTTCCGATTGATTTTGCAACACAACAATGAATCAAACGGTCAGATTTTTGCAATATACTGTAACATAGTCTGGGTGAGTGTATATTGTGACGTCACACACCTCAATAATGATTCACAGAAGAAGTTTAACTACTGCCAGGTTGTCTATGGGTCAGTTGGTCCATTTCCCGGCATCTGACGGAGAATTCAAATTATTCTACAGCTAATTAACTTGTCTCATTAATATTCATGTTGTCTTTGGTTGCACCTTGCCCACCTCCACCTGTGCTCCTTTTGACCCAAATAAGTAATTATGTCTCAAGATATTTGGCTTGGAGCTAATATCATGCTCTGAGTTTTTGCGCTGTCAGCTCACACCATGGGGAAGTCTGCTGAACTCTGCTACTCGGCCATTTTAACAGATGACTTTTTGAACCCGGAGAGTGAGAATTATTAATGTTAGCTGATTTCCCTCCTGCCCTTTGGATAGAAAAGTTGTGCTACAATGTATTTTCGTGCCTTAGCAAAGGAAAGTGAGGAGATTTCTGTCTGTGTAGTGGAACAAAATGAAAGAGATATAAATTAATCGCAAGAGATGAATGTTTTTTTCTTTAAAATCCATCATGCTGCAGCCATTTCAGAACACTTTTTACTACTATTCGGATTATTCAGAAAACAGATTGTCTTAATTATGATCCTGCATCTTGCATCAACGTCAAATATTATAATATTTATTGCAATTGTTCACATTAAAGCTGGGGTACCTAACTTTCAAACCACAGAAATGGGAGTATGTC